ATCTGTATTAAAGACTGTCATTAATGTTCATTATTATTTCACAAAACTTGACATTCATGACGATTTGTAAACATCACACAAAATCCTACCGCTCCAGCGTATTTTGATTTTCTTTCTTTTTTTCCAAGTCTCTCATATGTGAATACATAGTATTCTGGCAGGTGAAATCATAGCAGCATCAATTCCTTTTTTGGGTGAAATGGCTCAACACGAGTCCATTGTCTCATGCCTGATACCGATCACAGTAGCACCATAGTTTACTTAACCCTGGCGATTACTTGGAGTTTAAGTTGTTTCTAGTTTTTTGCTATCTCGGCACTGAATTCAACATTATTGTCCTTAAAAAATTTTTTCCTCCTGTGGATCTTTCTGTCTACTGATTTCTCAGGAGTGGAATTACTGGATCAAAGAGCATGAACCTTTTGTGTCATATGGGTCGGATTAACTTGGGCACTAAATGCGTTTTCATTTGTTCATGTGGCTTCCAGGTCACCGAGGAAACGAGCCTCATCCTGCAGACGCTCGGGTACACGTGCACGTGTCGAGGAATCATCAACGTGAAAGGCAAGGGAGACCTGAAGACGTACTTTGTAAACACAGAAATGTCAAGGTCGCTTTCCCAGAGCAACCTGGCATCCTGAAGAGTGGCCTTCGTTTTGGCAAGAAGACTGTGCTTTCGGGAAGGTACCACGTACTTTCTGACTGCAACTTTGTCCCTGTTTTCGATGTGCGTGCTCTGTTCACATGTCCCATGGAGCCTTGCAGACTAGTTCCTGTGACCCAGTGGCATACCGTTTGGTGTCTGATGTGTGCCCAGATTGTTCTGCCACTTGCACTGTGCTTACTCCTAAGCAAAAGGAAAAAGGAGCCCGCGTGATGGAAGGAAAGCATACAGAGAACTAATAAAGAGGAGAGAGGTGAAACAAACAAAAAATTCTTAAGGCAATAAAACTAGGGGGTGTATATTATCTTCTGGTGCATGTTCTTTTCTGGAAAATATGGTAGCTCGCCAAACGCATCCGCTAGTCTGATATTCAAACACACAGTATTTGTGGATAAGTTGATTCTGTCACCCCACATGGAGTCTGTGCTCACTCACGGGTCCGGTTGCCAGTGGCCATCCAAGGGCCCCACTGGGACCCGTGACCCTTGTCCCCTTGCTCTGTGTGTCTCACGCCAGCCGCACGTTGCCATCGATCACCAGGATTAGTCCTCACAGCCTAGGACCAGTTTTGTACCAAACTCGTCTGATGTTTTGATGCCATCTGTCTTTTGTAAGGTTAATTCATTAAAAGTTTTATGTACTTTGATTTATAGTGTCTGCATCTTTCATTTTCCTTTCTTCTTCCTCCTGTGGTTTCTTGCAGAACTAAAGTTTGTTTCTCATCCATCCTCCCTTTTGGCAGTTGTTTCAGAAAGAGCTCTCCAGAAGCCAATATTGAGATATCCGTAAATAATTCAGATCGGCACAAAGCGTGGGATGCAAACAGTCGATTGCACGGCTCTGTGGAAGGCTAGCAAGCACGCTGGATGTATCTAGTGGTCTGATGTTAATTCTGGTATCTCCAGGGAACACTTTTAGGGAAAGAACATTTTAATAGTAAAAAGATTCTCTGTGAGCAACAGTAGCCCCTCCATCCACTGTGCTCCTGTCTGCAGGAGTGCCTTGCTAGAGCTACCAGACACAGACTGCGTAAGAGTAATTTGGAACCAGCTATGTAAATCAGTAATCAAGATAATGCGAACTAAACGAGAGAAGTGCTAAGCCCCACAAGCTGCCTGTTCCGTCTGAGAAGGCTGAAGAAGACACAGAGCCAATGTTTATGCATTTTTTAAAGATAGAAGACCTAGAAGGATTTGTTCTTGTAAATCCAACACTGAAGTTGTTTGTTTCTTTTTTTTCTTTTAACATAAAGAAATCATACTTTGCCAAATGGTGAAAAATAGAGCAATCGTGAGTAATCCAATGTTTAAAAGCAAAACTGCAAGTAACAGCCCTGTTGGGCAAACTTGGTTTCTTTTTATAGCTAAAGACAGACAACTGTGAGAGGCAGAGCACCCAAATGGGCCCTTAGGGAGCAGGTCATTAGCAGGAACTCGAACTTGAGGCACAAGTCCCCAGTTTGATTCCTGGTTTTGATTTTTACTAGCTGTGTGCCTTTGAACACATCTCTGAACTCCTCTTGGGAGTGTTTTCCTCAAAGGTACCTCATGGCATCAGGTAGTGATTAAATGAGCTAATGACTGGGAGAGAAGCTGCAGGTACCCGGGGCTCGCTCCTGCCGCACATTCTCAGCACAGACACAGCTGCAGGGCCGGGACGTGGACTCATACTCGGTTAAAAGTGCTTATTGAAACCAGTAACTGTCCTTTATCACCCAAGTATGAACAGAGCATGATTTGTTCAATTTTCTGCTTCAATCAAGAATTTTTTCTAACCTGGAATCACAACTCAGCATTGGCCTTAATGCACCTAAATCTCCAAAAAGGTGATTAAAGCAAGAGAAATATTATAAGGGCATCTCTCTTCCTTCTAACTGAAATCTGGACTAGGATGCCATAGGGTTTTGGTGAGTTCAAACTGGCCTCATGTATAATTTGAGAGCATGATCAGAGCATCACCTGGTGGACTTTTCCTCTCTTTCGTCCTGCAGTGCTCATCCTCAGGTCGCTGTAGGTCACCTGCCCCTGCTGAAATCCACAGCTGGGTGATTCACCAAATTTTCATAAAGAGTCCTTCCCACTCCCCCATGAGATGCACTGAACTTGGATTTGTAGTAAACAGGACTCAAAGGAAGACCTGTTATTTCACAAAGCTGTACCACCAGTCTTACCAAACAATAGATTTTTAAAAGCAATCCAAGTCATCCTCAGAATCCACCGTGCAAAGCTCTGTGCACACATGGGCCTCCCCAGGTGTGGTCCCACACTAGCAGCATTGGCACCACCTGGGGATTTGTTAGAAATGCAAATTCTGGCCAGGAACAGTGGCTCACGCCTGTAATCCCAACATTTGGGGAGGCAGAGACAAGAGGATTGCTTGAGGCCAGGAGTTCAAGACCAGCCTTGAAAGCATAATGAGACCCACCCCACCCCTGTCTCTACAAATTTTTTTTTTAATTAGTTGGGTGTGATGGAGTGCATCTGTAGTCCCAGGTAGTCAGGGAGGCTGAGGCAGGAGGATAGGGAGAGCCCAGGAGTTTCAAGGTTATAGTGAGCTATGCATGTGCCACTGCACTCCAGCCTGGACAACAGAGCAAGACCCTGTCTCTCAAAACAAACCAAAATGACAGTCGGAGGACTTGCAATGCGCTCCATCAGCCCAGGTTCCTGTGCCATTGGTATCAAGTAAAAATCCGTCCTCAAAGCTCTCCGTAACCTTAAATCTTACAGGAAGTCTTCTCTCATGAAAAACACTTGAGTCCAGTCTCTTACAACCCCAGAGTTTTAACACATTTGTTTAGAATGTCTGAGTTTTGTCATCAGTCTTCTATGTTATTTTTTTTTCCCAACTCAATGTGCTTTCTTGAAGGCAGCAACCACTCGCTTTCCTTTGCTCTAGATACATCTAATAATCAAGAAACGTCATGGATCAGTGGTGGAAATGTGATAAATCAAAGCACATTCCAGCTGTGCACAGTGGTGCACACCTGTAATCCCAGCTACTCAGAAGGCTGAGGTGGGAGGAGGCTTGAAGCTGGGAGTTCAAAACCAGCCTGGGCAACACACCAAGACTGTAATCTCTAAAACTCATATTCTAATTAGTAGAAGAATATGTTCTCTTTTGGAAGATGGCTTTAACAGGCATTCATTTATTGGGTTCAAACTGTAAAAATTGGGATGCCAAGAGAAATACATTTAATTTTCTCTTACTGCCTAACAAGTGTGAGATCTTTTGAAACCTTGCCCAATTTTAGCCCTTTTTGAAAATAAGTGTATAGTAGAAGGTCAAGGGAGTAGGGTCTGAGTTAAGGGAAATGAAAATAATTTACTTTGGCAATAGTTTATTGCAGTCACAGATGCCTTGGCTTTGTTGAAATCAAGACTGAGTAAAGAGTAATGTATAACAATTTCTATAACCCAAACTTTATATAATTTCTACTATGTTATCATAAATATGATATGAAGCACCCAAAGGTATTCCAAATAAACTACTGCTGTTTGTTTGAAAAAAAAAAAGGCACCTATACTGAAAAAGTGTTTTTTTAAAAAAATAAATATTTAGGAGTCACTCAGCCTTGAAATTGTACAGAGAGCCCTCCTTGCAGATACAAAACAATAAAAACAGTAATGGAGGAATCACCCCTGAAATTAATTAGATCACCTGCCCATTCACTGCTGAACTGTGGGGAATTTAAGCATGGTTGAAGAGAGATGATTTCTTCCAAGGGACCCATTCAGATCTCTTAATACCTAAGTAAGTTGCAGATTATCCCCAAAGCAAACATGTACAAGTCAGGTTAAAAGCAAGCTGGGTCCTGTGCACAACTGTGCCTGCATTATGACTGTACTCGTGGATTCCCACACAAACTCTTCCAGGTTTGGAAGTTCCACTTGAAAGGTAAGGAAATGTCAGCTCAGGCAGATGAAATAACTTGCCCTAGACCACGGGGAGAAAATGCAGGAGCCAGAGTCTGTCCAGTGTCTTCCCCTGACCCTTGACTGCTTCTCCCTTGAGGAGTCACGGCTAGTATGGCAGGCCACCAGGGCCACCCGTCCCTACTAGGGCTTTTGTTCCCAATCGTGCGGATTTCTGTTATTGGTGGCTGAGACCTCTGGAAAAACAAAAATGTAGTATCTAGAGTCCAATCGTGCCCAAAGGCAATTGTGACCACATCTCCCCTTGGAGAAAGGCACATGTGCAGGTTGTTAGTGTTATCAGGCAGTAGCAGTTTCCATAGCTGTGAGGAAAGTCGCTGCTCGACACCCCTGTGGGCCCCTCCCCCAAGAATCCTTGCAAACAGTAGAGCCCGTGAACAAAACCAACCTGAGGACTGTCACATGGGAACAAAGCGTGCATTTTATTCAGGTGCTCACAATGAATCGGTTTCCAGTGCCATTTAGTCTGAAATAAATTCAGATAAACACCATCATGTTAGCTATTCTTAATGTGTATTAAAGGCCTTTGGCCCGGTTCCTAAGCAAGGTGGCCTCAGGGACAGCTGCTCATGCGCTGTCAGGGGCGAGGGAAGGCCCACTGCGGCTCCCAGGCGGCATGCAAAGGGGAAGTGAGGCTGCAGGGGCCGTCCTGCTGGCCAGGGGCACTTGACATGCCCTGCAGGCCACAGGGATCGCTTCAGGCTGGCCTGATGTACCCAAAGCCGGGCCCCTTGAGGCTGGGGATGTCGTTCTTCCTGTAGAAGTCAGCCCGCACTCGGTTTGCGCGGCGGTGCTCCGTGTTCTGCGGCTCCAGGGGCTGATTGATGCGCCTCCCGTAGACAGAAGACGACAGCACGCCCACGGGCCTTTCCTGTTCCTGGCGAGGGTCATCAAAACACGTCACACCCCTGGCGTGCCCGGTGCCACCTGCACCGCTGACCCATCCCCCAGGCCGGTTCCGGGCCCTCTCTCTACCTGCATCCCACCAAGGTGGGAACAAGTGGGCACCTCTGCTCGGAACCTTCCGGTGTCCTCAGGACCTTAGGAGGGAAGGCAAGACCCTGCCCTAGGTGCCAGGGACCCCCTGACTTCAGACTCCTGTCCTTGTCCTGCCCCTCCGTCCCTTGTCCCAGCCCCTCCCGCCGGCCCCTCTTCCCTCCGACCCCCTCTCCCTTCCTTCCTTCCTCCCTTGGGCCCCTTTCCTCCCTGCCTCTGTTTCCCCAAAGGCACAGAGCAGCGCTTCCAGCTCGGGGCTTTGCTCCACGGCTTGCTCTGCCTGGCTGCTGCCTGTCCCCTCCCCCTCCCTGCCCAGGTCTCCCTTCAGCCCCGCCCCGTGCCCCCTGCAAGTCCTTTCCATTTTCCCCATCCCCTCACATGGCTTTCTTCACCTGCATACCACTAATCCCTTCCTGGAATTCCTTTGTGATGTCTTTGTCTTTTGTTTTTTCTTTCCTCTTTGGAATGTCAGCTCTAAGAGGTCAGGGCTTTGTCTCATTGGTTTATGCTCAGTAATACATGAGAGGGGCTCAAAAAACAGGAGTGGACCTAAGTAACTCAAGCCACGTTCTTCTCACGAGAACAGCACTAACTTCACTACCACCTGGGAATGTGTTGACATGAACATACCTAATGGAAAAACATCAGTGTCCGGGACATCAATGGGAATACCTCACAGTACTCCATCACTTACTTTCATAGCAAGATACAAAGGATTATTAGGAGTGGCATGGTGGCATTCTTAAACAATACCGACCACAGGCAAAAATCCCATGATCCAAACAAGGCTTTACATTATAATTTCTGTGTAATGTATAAAGGATTGTACTTATTCAGCGCCTGACTTTTAATAACGTGCTGTCCTCAGATCAGTCAGAGTTTGGAAAGGCAGCAGAGGTGTCCAACCCAAACTGTAGCAGGGCCTAACCTCACGCACACCTGTCCCCCGCGCTGCTCCCTGCCCTCCTCACCCGTGGAGCTGTGCTAGTTCCGGTGGTCACCCATCTGTGCAGATGACTAGCATCTCAGGAAATGGTGTAAGGTGAAAGAGGAGCTACACTACGTGCGGTGGCTTTGGTGGCTTGGTAGCTAAACCTGGGGGAAATATTATTGTGTGTGCAACTTCATCCCTGGAAGACCAACTTCCCAAGAAGTCAGGACTCAGAGGTTAAGCAGAGACTCGTTCTATCTGTTGAAAAGAACATCTTAGTTTTGGTCTCCTTAATTGTTATAGAACCAAACAACAGAATCAAAAAAATTAATACACCTATGACATGACAGAATAGAGAGAACTACCATAGCAGCTTCGTCTTAGCTTCTTGGCACAGCAAGAAGAGAACTGTATAAAGAAAGTTACATAAAGCAATTGAACACAATATTGAATATATATGTTGTATATGTACACACACATAGGCACCTGTGCATATATACAATATACACAAATAAACAAAACCATATAAACATATGTAATATACACATACATGCACATACACATATACATGTGTACAATGTACATACATGAACACACATGTACACATGTATACATGGGCACAAACATATATTATACATATACACAAATACACATATATACAGATACATGCATATACATACACACTATATATATACACATATGTACACACATATATACACATACAGTCATGCGCCAAATAACATTTTGGTCAGTGATGGACCACATATACAATGATGGTCCCATAAAATTATAATGGAGCTTAAAAACTCCTATCACTTAATGACATCATGCCTATTGTAATGTCATAGCTCAATGCATTACTCATGACTTGGTGGTGATACTGGTGTAAACAAACCTACTGTGCTGCCAGTTGTATAAAAGGCTGGCACACATGATTATGCATAATATGATGATTAGGCATAATAATGATGATTACACAAGTTATAATAATAATGAATGACTATGTTACTGGATTATGTATTTACTATACTATACTCTCGTTAGAGTATATTCCTACTTATAAAAATAAGTTGACAGTCAAACAGCCTCAGGCAGGTCCTTCAGAAGGCATTCTAGAAGAAGGCATTGTTATCACAGGAGATGACAGCTCCATGCGTGTTACTGCCCCTGAAGCCCTTCCAGTGGGACAAGATGTGGAGGTGGAAGACAGTGATATTATTAGTGATCCTGACCCTGTGTAGGCCTACGCCAGTGTGTGCATTTGTGTCTTAGTTTTTAACAAAAAAATCTTATAGAGTAAAAAAAAAAAAAAATCAATAGAAAAATGTTTATGGAATAAAGATATAAAGAAAGAAAATATTTTTGTATAACTGTACAATATGTTTGTTTTAAGCTAAGTGTTAATACAAAAGAGTCAACACGTTTTAAAAAATTAAAAAGTTTATGAAGTAAAAATATTATAGTAAGCTAAGGTTAATTTATTATTGAAGAAAAATACTTTTTATAAATATAGTGCAGCTTAAGTGTTCAGTGTTTATAAAGTCTACAGTAGTGTGCAGTAATGTCCTAGGACTTCACCTTTACTTACTATTTACTCACGGGCTCACCCAGAACAACTTTCAGTCCACAAATTCCATTCATGGTAAGGGCTCTCTACAGGTGTACAATTTTTTACTTTTATACCATATTTTTACTGTACCTTTTTTATGTTTAGATATGTTTAGATACACAAATACATGTTATTGTGTTGCAGTTGCCTACAGTATTCAATACAGTTACCTGCTGTCCAGGTTTGTACCCTATGAGTAATAGGCCATACCACATAGCCTAGGTGCATGGTAAGCTATAGTATCTAGGTTTGTGCAAGTACACTCTATGATGTTTGCTCAATGACAAAATCTCTTAGTGACGAATTTCTCAGAATGTATCCCCATTGTTAAGTGATGCATGCCTGTACATACATGCACACACATAGAAGCATACCTCGGAGATATTTTGGGCTTAGTTCCAGATCATTGCTATAAAATGAGTCATGCAATTTTTTTGATTTCTCAATGCACATAAAAGTCATGTTTACACTATACTGTAGTCTATTAAGTGTGCAATAGCATTATATATAAAACAACGTACATACCTTAATTTCAAAAAATTGCTAAAAAATGCTGACACAAAGACAAAAAATGAGCACATGCTGTTGGAAAAATGGTACCAACAGATTTGCTTGATGTAGGGTTGCCACAGACCTTCAATTTGCAAACAAAAACCAGAAAACAAAAAACCCAATATCTGTGAAGCACAATGTCTCGCAATAAAATGAGGTATACTTGTATATATTTTTGTTAATCTATTAACAACTTGTTAACATCCTCTCTTAAAATTACCTCTTCGTTAACATGAAGTCCCACGCTTTTTGCGTGTTCTCTGTCATCTCGGTGCAACTTCTGATTATAATCTAAGCTCCGCTTAAAAACACAGTCATAGAGGGAAGTAACTCCTATCTGGGAATAAAAAGAGAAAGAAAGCCATCAGTTTATTTGCAGGCTGAGCCATTGAGGGGCAATGGGGCACAGAAGCCAGTACTCTCCCCAGTGGAGACTGGATGTGTACAGAGTTTCTCGGCTGCGGTGAGCTTGTGAGAGGAAAGGTCGCCTCACCAAGCAGAGACGGCTGTGACCTAGAGCAAGGAGAAGCCGAAGCCCCACCAGCAAGAGCAGGTTGCTGAGAGGCCCAGCATGGAGCGAGGACATTCCCACAGCACCTCTCATCTCATTCTGCTCCCTTCTCGACAGAGGCAGTTCCCAGAGCTCTGCTGTTCTCTGACTCCATGGCTAGAGCTCACACCTTTAAATAAAAATAATAAACTTGGCCTAGTCCCGTCAGAGTGCTAGAACAAAATACCACAGACCGGGTGACTTACACACAGATTTATCTGTTATGGTTCTGCAGGCTGAGAAGTCCAAGTTCAGGGAGCTGGCAGCCTTGTAAGTCAGGCTTGTCAGTTATGCTATTCCAGCAGCAAACCCACACACGCCATGTCCACGGGGCTTGGGAGCATCGAGACTCTCACTTATGCTTGGTTGGCTTTGTTTTGTCCCCCACCCCACCATACCCCCAGTGATTTCCTCCAACGGCAAGACGCACAGGTCAAGTAAGCAGGGAAGAATATGCACAACGTATGCACAGTGTGTTGGAAACACAGTAATGCCCATTCACACTGACCGCAGGAACTCAGAGCTCCTGCCAGTAATGGGAATAACTTTTATTATTTCCCTTTTTCTTTTATTTTTACGACCTGACATTGTGAACATAGTAATGGGAATAACTAGAGCGTAATGTAGCTTCAGCCAATCCTTTACAAATCATTCACAAATCATCCGTCACATGCAATACTCCGTGCACCTGCTGGGGGAGCCCACAGGATGACTCAGGTGTGGCTACTGTCCTCAGTCAAGTAAGCACCTAGTAAGGGAAACAACAGCATCGTTTAGAATCCTTACTTTAAGATTCCTGAGAATTCCAATGGCAATAGGTGCAAGGCACCTATTCGACCACTGCTCAAATCCTGCTTTGCCTAGGTTCAGAGTCACTCTTTGTGGCCTGAAGGAGGGAAACAACTTCCAACTTTGAGCTGTGGCTTCTGCCTCTCTGCCACCACTGATCATGTAATGAGTTCGCTGGGCACAAGCATCTTCTTGTCATTATCTTCACTCTCACACATTCAACTTCTGGGTGTGTTCATGCCAAACCACCCTTCATGTCTCCAGATGGCAACCTTTGGTACAGCCCATGTACTCAAAGCATTATTGAAAACCCCCAAAGTAATGGAGAATTGATGAACGATTCAGCATTTAAAATCGGCTAGCTATGTGAATCTTCCCATCACATTATAGACAAAAGTAAATTCTGGATGGATTAGAAACATCAGTGAAAAAAGAAAACCCACAAGGGACCTCCTACACATGACAACAATGGGAACAGTGTCCCAAAGAAAATATCAATCACTTTAACTATATGAAAATTAGGTATTTTCCTATCAAATAAAATTAAAGCTTTTAAAAAACTATTTTAAGGCATGAGAGAAATATCAATTATCTTTTAACATGCATAATGTTGGTGCAGAAGCTGATTTGCTGCTAGCGGGTAAAGGTTAAGCAAACCTTTCCCGGGTGAGCCACCAGGCTGCAGGGCCGTTTAGTGACATGAAGTGCAAGCACACCACCCACTCTGAGGGGACGGGAGAAGACAAAGTCTGCAGAGGTACCTTCTGGCCTTTTGTGAGTAAAAAAAAATATTGCAGTCCAGACGTTTGAGGTTCAGAACTCCTGGCCAGACCCTGTTGAGGCCAGCAGGCAGACAAGAGCAATAACCTGGTACTCCACCAGGCTACCCCCATATACACATTGTAATTCAAGGGATGAGACAGTAGCTGGGCTCTTGGTCATGATCCAGGTGTTCTATTGTCTCTGGAATGCCTCCTGACCTAGCCGACCTTGTGCAGTGGGTTTTGGGGAAAACAGCTGCCGTCTGCAACATGAAGACCTAGTCTCCATGAACAAACCCCTGGGAGGTGGCCACACCCATGGTGGGAGGCACTCTCTCCTCCTGCACCCCGAGAACCTTGTGCCAAGGTGGAGGTTTCTAGTGGCCCCTCTATCCCTGTAGCACTCCCTGCAGGTGACCAGCCTCGCCCGGATCTAGGGACAGCCCCACCAGAAGGGGAAACAGAGCTCCTCCAGGAACTGCTCTGGCTTGAGCTTTCTTCTCCTGTGAGAGCTTTCAACCAGGCCGGACTCTTGCTTCTGAACTGAGCAAGCCCCGCTGGGGTTCTTAGACTCAGCCTGAGAGAAGACACGGAGGAGGGAAGAATGGACTCAAATATGCAAAAGAAAGGAAATGTGAATTTATTTAGTTCCCTACACTGATGAAACCCAGCATAATCTGCAACTTTACAGGCTAAAAAAATGCCTCTTTCTTCTCATTCTACTCTTCTCCTAAAACACAATAAAATAACAGCTCAAAGCAGCCACGCCCGCCTCATGATCCCAGCATCAGGTCCCAAGAGCCGGCGACATCTGAGTCTTCACCAGGAATCTCACTGCTGAAGGGTGTGGGGTGACCAGAATTGGACACAGCTTTCCTTTCTGCAGATTTTGCATATGCAGAACTTACCAGAGTAAAAACCAATTTTTCTATCATTGGAAAATAGGACAGAAAAAAATTCATCAGCAAGCAGACAAGCCTCACTTAAAAATGTCACTGTCCATTTTTAATACCCAATCAAACTGAAAATATGTCCTTTTCCTGGATCTTAATTATTAATCTTTCTTCTTTCTTTGATCTCTTTATGGTTTGGAGCAAAACGATATTAATAAAAATCGATTGAGATTTAGATGCTATCACAAAACAGACCTTCTGGATTTACTGGTATTTTGCTATGAAAATCCCTGAAGGAGCTGCCTCTATTTCACACATGATGTTCTTTTAAAAAGCAAAGCAAAACAGAAAATATTCGTTTCTCTCTTGTGATCTCTCCCTTTGTCCCTTTGCTAAACTGTGGCATGGCCTTAAGCCACTCTCAACACTGAGAAATCACTCTGGTCCGCTTCGGGGGCTGAGGCCGTGAGTGTGGTGGGGGCCTGCAGTTATCGGCCCCCACAGCACATGGGGTCTGCTCCTGTATGAGGCACTAGATTAGGCTCCAGGACAGAAATGGGGTGTCCCTACCCGAAAGGAGACCGCAGAGAACAGAAATAAACCCATTAGTTCAAAACCACAGCCAAATACAAATGGAGTAACAGAGGAATGCATGAAGTACAGTGACACAAAAGAAGGAGTGAAGCTATTGTTTGGGCTGGGTGGGCAGTGGATGTGACTGACAGGAGAGGAGACTGTAGCACACCACCGCTGTGGCCAGCACTCCAGCGGGGCAACCTCTCCAGGTGCTATCGGTTGACCTGTGTCCCCCAAACGTTGAAGCCCTAACACGCGGAAACTCAGAAGGTGACCTTATTTGGAATGGGGTCCTTGAAGATGTTGTTAATCCAAGTGAGATCATACTGGGGCAGGGTGGACGCCTGATCCGGTATGACTGGTGTCCTTAATTAAAAGGAGAAATGTGGACACAGAAGTGTGCAGGGGGGGAAAAATGACATGAAGAGACATGGGGAGAAGACAGCCAGCGAAGAGCCAAGGAGGGGCCCCTAGCACGGAGCCTTCCCCCACAGGCCTTGGAAGGAACCAGCCCTGCTGACAGCCTGACTGCAGACTTCCGGCCTCCAGCACCCTGAGAGGATCCGCTCCCCTGTTTTAAGTACTTTGTGATGGGAAGTAAGAGTGGAGATGAAGCAAAGGTGACTGCAGCGGGGCCAGACACGTAACCTAGGAGTGCTCACTTCTCAGTAAACCGAGTCCGCAGACCACCTGGGTGGGTGACATCGCCCATATTCGATTCTTCTCTACTCCGCACTACACGGAGGGTCAGTCCTCCCTGCTGCCCTAAGTTAGGCGAGGCCGCGTGACCCGTTCCAACCAACCAACTATAAGTTGAAGGGACACGTGAGCCCAGAGACTCCTGAAGCTTCACGCCCGCAGAGATGACAGCAGCCTGTGTGGCGGTGGCTGGTGCCTTTACTGAGCAGAGCCACCCTGCTGAGCCCTGTGGCTTGAGAATAAATTTTGTTTTAAGCCGCCGAGGCTCTTGGGGTTGGTAGTTACTGTAGCATGCCTTGCTCATCATGGCTGAGGCAAGTGGGCGCAGGAGGAGGAAGTGCTGTTCTGCCACCCCCGTGCTCGGGGCCCTCCCTGGAGCTGTGGGCTTGGTCTATGCCAGTGCCCCGCCCAGCCTTTGGAGCTCCTCCTTACTCGCGCACGCACACACGCGCACACACACACACACGCACACGCACGCACATACACACACACACGCACACACACATGCACACGCACGCACATACACACACGTACACACGTGCACACACACGCCCATACACACACACACACATGCACACACACGCGCACACACACGCACACACGCACATACACAATTGGGATAAGATTTTGAGGAGGCTGGGACCCAATCCTTTATTTTCTCCTTCCTTTCAGACCGTTTTAAATATAAATGCAGTCTCCATTGCAAGTGTAAACCAGGTAAGTTCTATAAGGGAAAAAGAGAATGGGAAAATAAATGTATGCTTTTTAAAAAAGTAACCATGGTAGGAATAATACTATGTGCCCACCAAACACATTTCCTCTTCCAGAACAAACAGAAGATGCAGTTCCAAGTTTCCCTCATAATTAGGCTGGGGTCAGGAAGATGGGTGGCACCAATGAGCACCTCTCCTAGGTCTGGCCCATAAAAAACGCCCAGGCAGCCCTCCAAGGCCCCTTCTCCTTGCTCCTTGGCTGGCCGACTCAGAGGATCCAATAAAAGACTCCAAAGTCCCAAAGTGTCCTGGGCCCTGGCGAGTGAAACCATGAAACAGGAGGGGCCTGGGTTCCCCAGTCCTTGCACTAAGGAGAGCCTCCCTCCCGGGAGAACACACACGCCGGGGTACACGTGAGAAAGCAGTAAGCTTTTATTATGCTACGTTTATCATCTTAAGCCCAGTGGCGCACCTGTGCTTAACAGCCCACTTTGTGGATAAGGAAGGGCCTGATTTGTACTGTTTGCTGGTTTCCATGGTGAAAATACTCTCACCGTGGCCAATCTGAGGCTACCAACGGAACGCAGAGTTTAGAAGAAACGCCAAAGATCTGCTCCTGGTACTCGGGGACAGCACACCACTGGTTAAGTCCCTCTCGGTTTAGGGTTTACTTGTCTACACAGCACATCTTAGCCCACCTTGACTAGTACAGTATCCAGCTGTGATTGAACTACACTTATTTCCTCCTCTGAAAGGACTAGCACTTTCACCGCCTCACCTTGAGGCTTTCTTGAGTTACTGTCCCCCGCCCAGAGGCAAAGGCGCTGCTGTTGAAACTGAAAACCCCCCAGGCTGGTCCAAAACAGTTTCCTTTGATTCATCAGGGCCTTATTTTGCTTCTGATGAATTCAGAGCATCTTCCTTGGGAGTTTAGCAATGTGTGAAGCTCAGTGAGGACATTTTCATTAATTTTAATAGTATTCGAAATTCTGTATCTCAGAAGACTGCAGCTTGTCAAGGACATAATGTTAGCTTTTTTTTTTTTGAAAGGACAGTGCTCAACTATTCTTTTTCATTTTTATATAGAACCTGCCCTGGGTACATGGGTGTCACACGCTTGGGGAAATTTTTATAACTTTTCAAATAATCTGAATCTTTTACCATTGAACTAAAGTCAGCAGAACTCCCCCTCTCTGATCTCGTGTCTGTTTAGAATCGTAGGCGTGCTCTGATTCTGAGTTCCACGTCCGTCTATGTGCTCGACCCGTTACCAAGACGAGACTTCCTGATTGTGGAGTCAATTGTGTTCCGTTTGCTTGTTGTGCCCCTCAAATGGGGATGGTTTTGAAAATTCATTTCAGATATATTCTTAAATGAAATAGAGCAAGCTACAAATACACACACACACACACACAAACACACACATATATATATATCCGTGTGATCTTTTGTGTGAGAACATGATCTTGTAAAAAAAAAGTTAGGCGCTGCCTACATATGCACACGATGAAAAGACACAGAGCACCTGCTCACCCAGGTATGATGACAGGTCGGGACACTTACTCCCCACGCCCGGTGTTTCCTTCCTTGTGGAGGGGGAGGCCACGCCTGCCTCCCCCTCGCTGGTTTGTCCCCTGTAGGTGGGTTTGGGAGAGAAACTGGGCGCTGGGCTCAGTCCCTCCTGCCCCTCCCTAAGGATCTGCCTGCCCTGGAGGAAGACACCCAGCCCCACTCCCAGGCCTGGAGTTTTCCAGGGGCCAGGTCGCCGGACAGTGAAACCACAGCCGGCACAGAGCGAGAGAGAAGCAACCAGATCTACTCTCACTTACGATCCCCGAGGAGGACGGAGAAGCCACGGATAATAACAAGCAGATAATCCTATTGAGTCTATGAAGCTAATCTTGTAAATCGGTGATGTATCCCTTTGTTTTTTTTTTTTGTTTTGTTTTTTTTAAAAAAAAACCCTCGCTTTTCATTTATTCATTCCTCATTCATCCATGCAGCAGGTATTTTTGGAGCACCAGCGATGAGACAGGCACTGCTTCGATTGCTGAGGATGAAGCAGCGAAGCCCTCATGGACTTCGCATTTTAGTGGGAGAAAAAACAGTAAGATAAATAAGTAAAATATCTAGCAGGTTAGCTCCTAATAGGTGCCAGGAGAAAGCTAGGCAGGGAGAGGGAAAGGAAGTGCCCGTGGGGAGCGGTCATCGTTGCACTGGGCTAGCCACATTCTCACTGAAAGGCGTGTGAGTTGAAGAATCTGCTGTGTAACAGAAAGTTGCCTGGATTTTAATAGGTAGATCAGCGACTTAACGGAGTTTGCCCTTCCTGCATAGGACCCTAGGAGTGGCAGGGGGTGTGGTGAATGTGCTTGGTGCTGAGAGTCAAGGGCTCCATGCAGGGGGGGCCAGGGAGCTGGTACAGGGCACCCCCGGACACCGGCGTAGGCTCATCAAGAGTCCCCTTTGCCTGTGTCTTAATAAAATGCAGAGAGAAACGCAGTGACCAGGGGGGTAGAGTTCTTACTGCACAAAGCAGCAGTCAGCCTCTGTGCCTTCACCACACATAGAGAAGGAGGGTCAGCCAATCCCACTGAACCTAAGGTGGCCCCTTCAGAGCAAAGCTTCACTCAAGACAGAGCTATCCACAATCCACCTTGGCACAAGGGAACACGTATTCTAAAACTGCTTAGGGTTTTTTTTTTTTAAATATAGCTCCTGGACTTTGAGAAATTTAATCAAAACCTTCATACAAAGGCATTGTCCTTTGACTCGCCTTTCCCATTTCACTAGCAGAAATGCTGCACAAGGCAGAGAAGAAAAAAAGTAATTTAAAAACCCCATTGAACTGACTCTGCTTTGCTGCCACTGGACAGTATGTTACAGGGAAAGCCCAGGCTGCTGGCGCCCCCTAGGGAGCAGTCCCGGAGTTGGTCGCACCTTTGCTGGTAGCTTTAGATGACAAATTTGTCCTAAGATTCCGGGGCATGACTGGGGCTTTAAATAAGTGTGCAGCCTTCAGTGCATCAACCCTGTGGGCCCCTGAGGCGAGCTGCTTTAGCGGATTAAAAGCCCCGGATCGACGCTGCTCACATCATGTGCCCTCACCTGTGTTAATCTCCGAGAGTGAGGGGTTGGCCCCCGGCACCCAGCAAGCACTTAGTGAAAGGAAATGCTAATAGTCACCAACGAAAGCAAATAATGTTAATAATAGCTATTCTTACATTGGGCTTGCTATGTGCCACCTTACACGTATTAGTTAAATTAATTCCCGTGAGAGCTCTGTGGAGCTGGTCACATTTGCCTCCCGGGTGGGAGGAGAGAGACAGCGTGTGTGCCTTGGGCAGGTCCTCAGCTAGTAAACGTGGAGCCGGTATTTTCACCCAGGACCCCTCAGCCTGTGCTACTAACTAACCACGAGACAAACTCCTGTAAGTGTGTTCCACAGAAATCGACTGAAGGGGATAGTTGGTTTGAGCTGCTATAACAAAATACCACAGATTGGGTAATTTATGAACAGCAAATTTATGTCTCACAGTTCTGGAGGTCGGTAGGTCCTCTGGTGTTTGGTGAAGGCGTGTTTCCTGGTTTCCCTGTCAGAAGGCACCTTCTCACTGTGTCCTCACATGGCGGAAGGGGCAAGGGAGCTCTGTGGGGTCTCTTTTTATAAGGGTGCTAATCTCATTCATGAGGGCTCCACCCTTCTAGCCTGTTCTCTGCCCAAAGACCCTACTTACCTCCCAATACCATCACCTTGGGAGTTGAGATTTCAGTACATTAATTTTGAGGGGCATGACCATAGCACTGACTTAAGAGCTAATTCTGTACCATTTCCACGTAGCTTAAGTAGGGTTTGGCATTATTTATAATGGATTTTGGTGCAATTGAATCCTCTAGAAAACCTGTGATACAGAATTCACCCTCTTTATTCCAAACGATCTCAAGGTCAGAGAATCAGCTTCTGGGGCTAATTCAAACCAAGGCAAAGAGACACCAGAGGTGTGAAGTGACCAGGGCCCCATCATCACTCGGAAGGAGAGGAGGAGTGGGCCACAAGCATGCCCCCTTATTGCAGGGGGCCGTGAAGGAAGCCTCTGAGCCAAATCGGCCAGCTACCTATTTTAATAAACAAAGTTCTACTACAACACAGTCTCACACCCATTTGTTTAGTATTGTCTGTTGCTACCCCACAGAGTTGAGTCATTTCGACAGAGAGACCATGTGAGCTGCAAAACCTAAAACAGCTACTATCTGGCCCCTCACAGAAAAAGTGTCCCACGCCCTTTTCTTACGTATAACTGCCTTCTGGAAGGCGGGGGTGGAACTTAGAACAGAAGTTCTAAAGACAAAACCAACGTATTCTCTCACAGCCCTGGCAGCTAGAAGGATGGAACCAAGGAGTCACCACCCGACTGAGGGCTGTGAAGGAAGGTACCTGTTCCAGGCCCCTCTCCTAGGCTTGCAGATGGCCGTCTTCTCCTCCTGTCTCTTCACTCCACCTTCCCTCTATGCATGCCTGTTTCCAAACTCCACCTTTCACAAGGACACCAGTCCTATTGGATTAAGGCCACCTTAATGACCTCACTTGGATTTGATTACTTCTGTACAATTCTGTCTCCAAATAAGCTCACATCCTGAGGTACTGGGGATTAGAACTCCAAAATACACATATTATTAATGGGAGGCACAGCTCAACCCACAGCATTTGTCTACACTGGAATGATTGCTTCTGTGGTGGAGGCCACGCTCCGAGAGTGCTCTTACATTCTACCTGGGGCGAGTACCCCAGTGTGCCGGACCTGATAGCTAGGGGGACTGATTTGCGCCCTGGGACTGGGGGTGGCGGGAAGAAGGGTGGGAAAGAGGCATTTTGCAGGAATACCCTAACACCACCAGGAACGACCTCTTTCCTCCCAACCACCTGTTAATCTATACCCTCCTCTGGGCACTGGTGCTACCAGGATAGCTGGGATAAGAAGGGCCCCAGGCAACGCTCCTTTTCAGTGTTGACACTCCTCCCCTGCACCCTGAGCAAGACACACTGGGGACATTTAGGAGCAATGGCGAGAAGAAAGGAATAGATGACCCCTGTCCAGTTTTGAATTTGCTTCTTTTCCTGCTTTTGGCCGCTGGTTGGAGGTATCCAGTGCCTGGTGGCCTTCGCAGACCTACAGGGTCCTTCCCAGGAAGCGCACGGCCCCGGGGACCAGGCCAGAATCTAATGACACTTCTGTCCAGCTCCCCTGCAGGTGGCTCGCCCGATCTTCCTCCTGGCTTTCCTCGGTTTGTAGGCGAGCAGAGCGTTTTCCGCGTCCTGTACCTGAGCTTGTGTCCGCCGCCACCTGGGCCTGCCGCAGACAGACCCCAGAGGAAACCGTGCCGGCCTGGAGGGGCAACCCCGGAGTTCCCGCAACCCTCCGCCAGATCCTGGGCAGAGGCGGTCACCTTGCCGTCCTGGTAGTGGCCACTGTGCTTTTCAAGGGTCCAGCTCCTAGCGGCTGCCCTTCCCTTCCCAAAGAGCACCCCTCCTTAAGCCACCCCTACTGGCCCCAAGCGCCAGGTCCCAGCCGAGCATTGCCCCTCCCCCTCCGCACGTCCCGACTCCCAGCTCCGGGTCCCAGCTGACCTGTCCCGTGCGCACACCCGGTCAGCCCCTGCCCGTCCTCGTTCCCCAGGGGTTCACCCCTCCGCCGGTGCTGCTCATGGTAGCTGGATACTTTGGGGTCCAGGCGCCTCGGTGGGAGGCTGCCCTCTCTTTCGTCCCAGTCGCCACTGCAGCCCCCTTAGTCTCCGCGCGCCCTGCCACCGGCCGGCCCCCTCCTGCAGGCTGAGCAGCCCCGCAGGGCCGGGTGGGTCCCGGGTCGCAGCCCTGTCCCCAGGGTGAGCACTTCCTCCAGGGCCCGCCCCCGTTGTGAAGCCCGCCCCCCGCCAGCCCGGCTCACCTGGCCCTGGCGGTAGTAGTAGCTGTGCTCCTTGGGGTCCAGGCGCCGCGGCGGGATGTAGCTAAAGGACGACAGCGCCGAGATGGGCGGCGGCCGGGTCACGTTCCGCAGCGTGGCGGCAGTGATCTCCTCCTCGTCGTCCTCCATGCGTGCGGTTCCAGCGCCCCAGCCGCGCCGCGGTCCGTCCCACCCTCCCGGGGCCCAGTCCGAGTCCGCCAGCTCTAGGCTCCGCCCGCGTTTGGCCCGGCGCACGCGTTCGGCAGCTCCATGGAAACCGCTACCCGGCTACACCGAGCGGGGCCTAGGAGCGCCGCGCTGGGGGTGGGGCGACCCCCGCACCTGCCTCCCGGCACCGGGGGCCACAGCTGGGCAGCCGTTCCCTCTGCCGGGGGAGGCGCGCCGCTGCAAAAGCAGCAGCGTCCCAGGTTCCCGGGGGAGACGCCCCCGGGACCACCCGTCACCAACCTGCTTCGCCTTTTCCATGCAGTGTTCCTGGCGCTTGCTCGAGTGGCAGGTAAGGACCGAGCACCTTCTGTGGGCCAGGAGCTGAAGACACAGCCTAGAACCCCCGGCCCCTGTCCGCAGGGAGCTTGCACAATTTGCTGGCGCACACAGATGACTCGCGTGAATGCGGCTTGCAGAGGCTCTAGGGCAGCGCTGTCCAACAGGAGAGCCCCTCGTGTAATTCGATATTTTCTGAATAACCACAATTAAAAGGTATGAAGACACAGGCCAAATAATTGCCATAATTTATTAGTTAACTTAGAATGCCCAGGAGTTCATTTCAACGTGTGGTACTAGCCACACTGCAAGTGCTTGGTGGCCACAGGTGGCTAGCAGTCATAGTATTGGGCAGTGCAGGTGTAAAGCTTCCCTGAATTAAATCGGCGTGATGGGGAATCCGACAAAACTTGCCCCTCTGGGTGGGGCTCTCGCGCCCCTCTGTGAGAGTGGTTATGTTGGTCCTGCCCTGGACGCTGTTTCCATAGTTGGCGGCCACTAGCTGAGCATTCACTGAGCTGTAAACTCATGCTGTGTGCGTGTGTATGAGCGCATGCGCATCACCAGGACAAGTTTAAAAAACGGGGTGCAGGTGGGGTACATGATGACCAAGACTTGGGAGGTACTTTAGCGAGGGCGCTCAGGGGTGGCTCTGAGGAGGTGGCATTTGAGCTGAAACACGAGGAGGAGCCAGACTTGTGAGAGTCTACCAAGTCCCTTCCAAGCAAGGAAGGCAGAGCAAGCCTGGGTCCCATGAGGCAGAGCCAAACCAAGCATGTTTGAAAGGCAGCAGGGAGGGTGGTGGTGGAGCTTCAGGAAGGATGTGAAGGTGAACAGGTGGGCAGGGACCAGATGCAGAGGTCTTAGGGCACACCACAAGGAGCAGTGTCCTGCCTTCTCTGCCACTCCTCTAACTTCTCACTAGGTAGGAATCTCTCCTCTGCACTTCCTTGATGCAGGCTGGGGGCTTAAGATGCTTCTGTCAGTCTGAGGCACCTGGTGGCACTGCTGTGCAGAGGTCTCCTGAGTCCCCTGGAGGTTCTCCTGGCAGGATTTAAGACATCCCTGTGCCACCTCTCAATCGCTCTCTCTCTCTCTCCCTCCATCTCTCCCACACCCCTACATGCCTTCTTTGCCCTAATAACATATATCTTTGCTCCACTGGCAGAACATATGAGCTGGCTGAGTTGAAGGCCAAACACCTGCCCACCATGTTCCCAAGCCCCAGGGGACATATCAACCTCACTGGGACCAGTTGGGGATGCTGACGTGTATCTCTGGTGCTTGGAAACAGAGCACCATCGCCCCTATGCAGCTAGTGAAGGAAGAGGGGCTCTCATCCTTCTCCCATGGGCAAAAATCATGAAAGTGACTCATGATTTTTTGGGCTCTCCCACATCTCTGGGTATTTCCAAAGATAAGCCACAGAAGGTCACCTAATGGTCACAAAATTTTGTAAGCTTTGCGCAGGTGACCTGGTATGATGCTTTGGAAAATTGAAAGAGATGAGACCAATTGTGTTGGAGACTTGGCTAGAACAGACCAATCATTTCACTGTAAAATCTTTCTACACAGCCATACAGATGTGAGTCTGGTAATCTCAGTTTCAGTAGGTGACATTTTGTTACTCGCTAGACCAAGAGCTTTTGAGGGCAAGGCGACCTATGTCATTTTCATCTTGGATGCTCAATATGGCATATGGTAGGATCTCAACAAATAGTTGGTGACTAAATGAACGAATACAGTTGCCATAGCTTGGATTTCCTCTAACAGAGGAGTCTGAGATAAGAGCCTGAGTACTCTTGGTTCACCTGGGCGGTAATTCCAGGGAGCAGGAGGGAGGGACCGAGAGGAGTGAGAAGCAGATTGCCAATGTCAGGATTCACTACCCAGATCGCTGCTGAGGGCAACTGGAGCTTGGCTATGCCCAGAACTTTCAGAGGAGCCTGGAGAACCACCGTGCTGAGTTGCTACCAGTAGATTAACGTGGAGGCCTGTTTTATCTCTTGCTCCCATCCTGCCTGGTTGAGGGTTGCCCCTCAGACTGTCCATTCCTGAACTTGTATGACCCCTGCCCCTGTGCCTCCTCTCCTTGGAGTCAGAGAAGCCCTGGGGCTGACAGCAAAGGACACAGGGCATCTACTTGAGGTGAGTCATAGCCCCATGGGATGGTCAACCCACGATGAGGGTGGAATCAGATGGGGAGCCAAGAGGATGCAGGGCAGGTACCAGAGATAAATGAAACCATAGATCAGACAGACTCTGGAAGTTTTTATTATTAAGAGGTTTTAGTTCCTTTAAAAAAATCCTTTCCTATATGATCCTATTATGTATTCCAGGTACATCAGTCTAGTATGTTTAAGTTCCTCAGGTTTGTAACTAGTACTTGCAAATTTCTATGCAGGGCAAGGGAAGGATAAAAGAAGCGTGAAAACTCTTCTCTCAAGGGAAGCAAATTAATAGGATAAGGACAGAAACTAGGGTGAGGATACAAAGTGGGTCCAGGGATCAGATCAGCCTCAGTGTTTTGAATGACGATGTCCATGTTATGGGCTGTGCAACCTCCAAATCTCATTCCAACATCACAGAATTTACACCTGTGCTAAGAGACGACATTCTGTGTGTCATCTTGCACTGCTGTGGCCTGGGATGCCCAAGTACATGCAGCGTTGGGATGCCCATTTGCCAGGATCGCTGCTGCCTGCATCTCCCCAGTGGGACATGCAATGAATACATAAGGGGGTGCTATGGGCTAGAGCAAAGCAGGCAGTTCACAGGAATTCAGGAGGTGCAGAGTCTACACTGCAGCTGAAACCCCATGCCGTTGCTCTTGACATCTGAACAAGATGGAAGCTTTTGAGAGACATGGTGGGAAGCAGTCTTTCTGTTAATTTGAGGCAGGGAAGGAGAAAGCACAGAAGGCAGCCGTCATGTCCCATTAGCTGTGGCTTCCTCACATCTCAAATGGCTTATACGTTGTTCACCCTGAGTTTCCCTAAACACACAGGCTTTTTAGGCTGAAAAGACCCATCTAGTTCATTATGCTGGTGAGAAGACCGAGAAGAAGGGAAGTTAAGTGACCTGGCACAGGTAAGGAGGGCTGTGGGTGCTCCACCTAAAAGATTTACATAATACCTGGAAGGGGAGCATTGTGCTGTCCACAATGCTCTAAAGCATTGGGAGAGAGGAGGAAAAATAGCCTGTAAGTCCATTAAAATACCACCATCTCTTTCCTTCTCTCTTTTTAAATCTTCTGTTGAAAATGGAGAATTTTAAAATAAGATGAATGTCTCCATTTTAAATTTTTACAATTATTCACTTTTTAAATTGTCCTGGAAATTCATGTAAGTGGCCCAATATAATTAGATTTTAATTCTTCACAAGATCTAAAATATCTTAAAAATTATTTGGAGCAAGGATTTCTCTACATCTGGTATGTTTTATAACGGTTCAGAAGAGGGATGGGCGTAGAAACACACGTTTGTAACTAGCGAGGAAGAGGACTGGCCATCTGTGTGTCCCAGCACATTTTAGACTTATGAACTCAAGGGCACAAGTTCAAATGACCTGCCAGCACTGGTCTCCAGCCCCCTTCAGTGCTACTGAACGATGAGAATAACAGCAGGACCTTGGCTCCCAGAACACGGAAGCCACTGTCGGTCTTCCAGAACCATGTGAACCGCACCCTGGACACAGGCAGTGGTCTGTGGTAAGGTCAAACAGGCCTTCACTTACCTGATGCCTCCTCCCTGGTAAAAAGACAAACACTGTCAGTAGATTTAGAAAGTATGTTTATCATCAGGTTTCTCCTATAGGCTGACTCATTTAATTAACGAAGTCTCTATGGTTAGTAACTGTAAGCACCAAACTTATGAACTGAGAGTAATAAAAATTTAATTTTGGTTTGTTTACCTTGCTGGTTTTGAAATAAAAATGCCTACAGTGAAAAATCAAAATACAACTCTAGCAGTGAGCTCTACTGCCCAGTAGGAACCAGGGTTCCTCAGAGAGGGGCCTGATCCCGGGCCTGAGACACAAAGTGGATAATATGAGCCAGGGACATCCTGTTTTACAAGGAAAATACCAAAAATTAACAGAACAAGTTAAAAAGGACAGAGAGGCCAAACTGAAGGGAATCACACTGGCTTAAAATGGGATAATCTAATCATTAAAAGAGGAGTGCCAAGGATTGAAGCACATCAAATGTATAAAAGTTCACAAGTATATAAATATCCTAAAAACAAACAAACAAACAAAACCTGACTAGACCATGAATCCTTTATTCTAAAAATCGATACAAGGAAAGAAACAACTGGTTTTTTTTCTGTATAAACCTTATTTTAGGATACACAGATAGTTGACAGAGAAATCCCTTCTTTATAGATAAATGCAAGCTAATGAAAGTAGAAAGAATGACAGAGTTAGGAAATCATTTTGTTTTGCAACATCTACTTAAATAATGGATCTCGGTAATGGTCATCAGCAGATGCTAAAACCATTAGGTGAAAGGCTGAGGGGGGACCACACAACAGAGGGACCAGATCGGTAACATGGGAACTTGCTCACCAATCATAATGAACAACGCTAAGAAGAGGCACCCAGCCACCAGGGCACGATGCAGAGGAAACACACAGCACCCCCTCTGCGGCACCGTGCCCACAGAATTCAAGCTGAATTTAAGCAAGCCTCTGGGTCTGACTTTCGGTTTAATTAACAGGACATATGGCAGAGAGAGAAAGAAGTTAGACAACACCGAAACAACAATGTGGGGCATTCTACAGGGCAATTGATCTAATTTCTCCAGAAATGTACTGACATGAAAAGTAGGTGAGTTATAGACGTAAGCGCCTAATCTGCAAAAGTAATAGGTGGACTTTGGATCCTGACTCAAACACATCGACAGTTGAAATTTTTTTAGATAGCATAGGAACCTTGGAATATAGACCAGATATTAAATGATGACAGAGAATAATTAATTTTGTTAATTATAAAAAATGGCTAAGTTAAAGAAAAATTATTTATTGGTAATAGATGCCTACTGAAGTATGTAGGATAAAATGATATGATTTTGGATTTCTCTGTAACCATTCCAGTAAAAAAAGAAATGAAAAAGAATAGATGAAACACAGTTGGAAAATTATAGTAATTTTCCATGCTGAATGGAGGGACTCGTGGCCTTGTTATATTATTCTTACAACTCTTATGTGTGTTCAGAATTTTCCATGATAAAAGTAAAACCAGTAGGGTTAATAAGTATCGCTTTTTGCAAACATCAGAATGCAAAATATCAGTTTAACCCATGAATAGCGTGCACTGTGCTGAAAGAGAGTTGTGGGACAGGGGAGATGCTTGTTTTTGCTGAGAGATGAGATTATATGGAAGCGAAATTCCTTCTGACGGACCCCAGCAGCCAGAGAACATAACATAAAGTTAGGTTTACTGAGGGGTGCAGCAAGGGAGACTGCACCAGCCAGAGGAACCAAGAGGCACCTAGTGAAATGAAGGAATAGGCAGGGTTCTGGTAGGATTTGGGGAGGGGTGGATTTAGGTAACATTTAATGAAGCTGAGTTGGAGAGACTTAAAGCACAGCAAGTTTGTGTGTCAAACAGTTGCCATTAAGCCTCGCCCAAGAAGCTAACGCAGGATCCCCAAAGGGAAGGTAGATGTGGAATGTTGTGTCCAAATCCCCTAGATCTGGATCTCTGCACTTGGGCGGCAAACTGAGACCACTTCACCATGCCCAAATGACCCTGGTGGCTCAGATCTTGCAGCAATAGAAGGGTGTTCCATCTTACTGATTTGACTTCAAACAGCGAAGGTTTTAGAGAACAAGTTTTCTCAGCACTACATCCTTGATGCTAATTAACAAAGGCAGATGCCAGAGGCTCACAGTGGCAACGTTAGCAGGATTCAGTCTGCATGTTCCTTCTCACAGACCTTCCTTCCATGAGCCTTTACCGCAAGCTGTACAACACAGTTTAACTAAGAGTGAATGACAACACAGGTACCAGTGATAGTAATAACACTCAATGGTCACTGAGCATTTACCGTTTTTCAGGTACTGGGCTAAACTACACTTACAAGACATGCTTCATTTCACTATCCTAGACTAAGCATTTAGACTCCAAATGGATCAGGGTATTCATACATTTCCAGCACGGGCAAATCTCAGCTGAGCCGAGATCCCACCCTGGGTTTGCCCACTAAGTCTTCTGGTGGGTGTACCTTTTTCAAAAGGAACTGCTTCCTTGTTTTCCCAGAATGTTTGCCAAGTATGATGAATTCTGCTCCTTCCTATCTTTTCTGTCTAAAACATATTTACCAAGTGTCCACATTCGAAAGATGCGATCCTCATCTCCAATCTTTTCATCCCAGTGTACTGTCTACCCTCTCCTGTCTGGGCCTGGCTCAGGCAAAGTGCATTCCTTACTTAGAGGAAGGTAAGGAAAGGTAAGGAAGACTGCCTTTGATTTGTTCAGGCAGAGGTGTCACCACACTCTCCCACAGCTGCCACCTGAGACACACACACACACACACACACACACACACACACACGCACATGCACACGCGCTCCACGCCCCCCCCCATCATCCAGAGTCTCAGCTGCAGCAGTCCAATCAATGTCCTGAACTTTGCTGCCCCCTAGTGATAGACCCAGAGATTATCACTGATGCTTCAAAGGTTATGCTCACAAGTAAAATGATTTTTTTCACCCATTTTCCTTTCTTCGCTTTACTTTCGAAAACGTATAAAGCAAGGTTAATGCCTTGTTCAAAAGTATGAACAAATATATAGTACCAAGAGCTATCAGGTTGGATATGCAATTGCAACTAACACATTTGCATCCCTTTTGCTAGCATAGGTATAGACATAAAAATTCATGAGCATAAGGATACAGTTTATAAGGACTCGGTTTTATAATTTGACAGATCTTGTCAAACTCATTCAGTTGGTGAAACCAGCAACCTTGTATCTATTTATTAGCCTAAGTTATTTTCGTAACACACACATGCACAGAATAAACAGAATAGGTGGATGAGGAACATTCCAGGCGGTACTTTTTCTTTACAGCATTTGTAAGATTGATATTACCTCTGTGTGGCCATTTAGTTCGTTAGGTCTCTCTCTCCTCTATATAAATGTGACCTTATTTAGACATAGGGTCTTTGCAGATTTAATCAAGTTAAGATGAGTAAGCCTTAATCCAACCTGGCTGGCATCCTTGTGGGAGGGAAATCTGGACACAGCTACATGGGGCAACTACCATGTGAAGACAGAGACAGACAGACACGAAGGGCCATGTGAAAGAAAACGCCACCACACAGACACAAAGGGAAGGTGGCCACATGAAGATGCAGGCAGATTAGTCATGCTGCCACAGACTGAGGAATGTCTGGGGCCACCAGAAGCAGCTGGAAGAAGCAAGAAAGGATCCTCCCCTGGAGGGTTCACAGGGGCATGGCCCTGATGACATCTTGACTGTGGACTTTTAGCCTTCAGAACTAGGAAAGAATGCAGTTCTGTTGTTTTAAGCTTCCCAGTTTATACTACTGTGTTACCACAGCCCCCTGTGATGTATGATTAGCTCTCAGGAAACTGGAGAACAAGGTCACAGTTAGCAATGGCAAAGCTAGATCTTAAACCCATGCCGAAGGATTACTGAACCTAGATTCTTAGCCACTGTGTTCCACCTGCTTCTCGGGACCAGATTAAAAAGTTACACTCATCAACAGTGATGAATGAAATATCAGGTAGAATATTCATCCCCTCTGAGCTGGGCTGTAAAACGGGAGCTATACTTAAAATCAGGAGTCACGATGTGAGACTCACACAAGCATCGTGCCAAAGCGCTCAGCACAGAGTGAGAGAATGAGAAACAGCAGCTGTCCCTGCCCAAGTCACAGCACTAGCAGAGCCTCAGTTTCCAACTCCAAAGCTCTTTCTCCTATCCCAGTCTGCCCCCACGTCCTCTTCTCCCCTGAAGCATTAACCTGATCATACAATGAGACAATGAAGCATCTGCAATGAACTAATGACAATTCATTCTCGACTCAAAATTTAAGCCCCTACCTAAATTAAGTTGCTTTTTCACTTCTCTGCACCTTTGTTTTTTTTAAAGTTACCATACCAATATATCTTATTATCTAAAGGGTTATTTCTAGATAGTTCTATAATTATGAATGTTTATATCCAAAGTACTATAGTCTATTTTTCAGTGCTCCTTTTCCTAACCATACATCACACTTTCACTGACAAAACATTTAAGGAAGTAAAAGATAAAAGATAAAATTTCTTGCTTGCTTACATTTGTTAGACAATAAAAGTCTACAAAGAACAAACTATTTTCAGTTAGCAGTTAATTATTACAAACAAAAGATTTAAAAATAACATTCATTCCTTTATTGCACGTGATCGATTCTGTTTGATGTATAAAAGGTATCTATGATACTAGTATTAAATTAAAACTAATTTTGAATTTACCACTGATAAATGTATACATGGTATAAGGAAAACTATAGACCCTTTCTAGGTAGACATAGAAAGGTATAATATAAACATAATTCTGCAAAATGGCTAATTCACATATTCTTTTTTAAATACCAAGTCCCATAAAAATATAATTTTTTTCACTAAGTTCTGAAGCCATTATTCCTTCTTGTTACCAATGGTCACCACTTCTTTGAGAAAATAGTTTTCTCTGTAAATATTCCACCAATTCTAGTCTTGATTTTAGCATATCAATCTCATGATACGGGATCTGTAAAGGAAAGAAAATAAAACTGATCAAAACCTTTCACAATCTGAGATTACTTTGGCTTTCTTGTTACCTTGTCTGTCTCTCACACAGCAGAACGTAAGCTCCTGGAGGGCAAAGACCACGACCACCTTGCTCATCCTGTAGCCCAAGAGCCTAGAACAGTGCCTGATACAGAGGAAGCTCAGTCAATACCTGCTAAATAAACAAGTGGGATCTCTACATAAGAAACAAACAGGATCCGTTGTCCTCCAGGAGCTCACGATTGAGGTGGCAAGTTAAATCACACAATAAATAAAAACGAAAGCAGATTGGTGACCCAGTACCGAGAGGGAGTCAGCACCTCATGAGATGAGGGTGAAGGGTGCTGATAAAGGGCCAGAAGGAAGATACTCAGAGCTGGAGGGTGCAGCATGGGCAAAAGGGGAATGAGGAGAGAGAACAGAGAGGCTCAGGGAAGGGGAGGGAGAGCTCAGCTGGGAGCAAAGGGGCCTGGCTGCAGGCAGACCATGGAGGGTCTCGAATGTTAAGATGTAGTGAGGTTTTTAGTTTATCCTGGAAGCAGTAAAGAAACAATGAAGGTTTCTGAGCACACACTGGCATGATTAGTTTTAGGAAATTTAATCTGGGCATGTGCAAGATAGAGCGGAAAACAGTCACCAGATATGAAAGCAGGTAGCAGACTAGTACAGACAGCACAAGGTCTTAAACATTAAGTGTTGACGAAGTTCTTCATCTTAGTGGGTCATCTTGTCCACTTTTATTCATTAAATCAGGAGGAAATTAGAACAGATATTCCAATAATTTAGTAATTCTAAAAGAGTTAAGCATACTTTACAAAGGGTATAGGTATGCCCTCCCCCACCTTTTGGAAAATAAAAGCTTTGAAAATTCTGTATTTTAAAATATAAGTCAAGAGATTTAAGCCTAATTAACAAAGTTGGTATTTAAACTAGACGTAAGATTCTTGGTCCCTTGGGCTGGGGCACACCACTTAGCACTGTTCAAGTAAACTAAAATGGAGACTGGGCCTGAAAAACTCTTGAGCACATGAAGCCAGTTAGGTTTTGAAAATAACCTTAACCTTGCTTAAAGTGCAAATGCTAAGTGAAATTTAACTCGGGCTATTTCTTGTAAATGCTTGTATTAGAGAAAAACATTACTTACCCTCAAGCAATCAGAAGCCTCCCACAAACTTAAAATGATATAAGTAGGGTCTTTCCATAGGACAGATCAAATAAGGCAACTATATAACTGTAACCAACCAAATATTTTTTGTTTATTTGTGTTCTCCCAGTAACAGCCTCCCCACTGTGTACCTCGGGGGAGCACCCAGACCACTGCTGGTCCCATGCTGTCAGATTCATGACTCAGTATGTGCTCAAATAAGCACTTTAACATTTTATTGTGCCTCAATCTACTTTTTAACAGCAATGCGAAAAAAGCAAATCTGAATTAGGAATTGCTTTTAGGAAAAAAAAAAATAGGTGAAAATATACCTGAACAACTTCATAACCAAGTAACTGTAGGTGTCTTTGTTTAATAGCTTCTTTTCCCAATAAGTGTTTGCTATTAGGGCAAAATCTTTTTGGACCATCAATGCACAGTGCTACCCTGAAAAATGAAAAGGGAGAAAGAAACTTAATTTTTAAAGTAATACAAAATAGTTATATATTTTTAGTTGCCAGAGTTTATTTGGAATTTGGCTATTCCTATGTGCCAATATTATTTTCCAGTAAATCGTGAATAGGTTATTTTTAATCTGTTGAAAGAACATGCAATTTTACTAATATTAATAAATTATAAGAAATTTCCAAAGTTGGTATCCTGAAAATTAATTTTAATTTCCAGAATCATGTCTGTTTTTTCACCTTTCTAAGAAAAAGATCGTTTATTAACCTTGACACGTCTTGTAACATAAAAACCGTATCAGTTTTCTTTACCTTTGATGGACATCTTCATCAACCATGAATGGCAATACAAATCCTTCTTCATCTAATTTAATTTCCACATCTGGTGAGAGAAGAAAGGAAAAATTCTTCGTGTGATACCTTCACAAACACTATCTTCCTGCATTCCTTTGTTGTTGTGATCTCTTCCACCTTGCATTTATCAATTGGGCTGAAGGCTGCAAAGTAATGATCACAATCAAACAAGGATGAGAATTTTAGTTTAATTGGCTTCATCAACAACCAAGTCAGCCTTAAAGTAAGAAGGCTCAACTACACTAAAACAAAGAGTCGGTTCTCATGTTATCGGGGGTATGACAAGAACCATACATACTTCCGGTTTCTCCTTACAAGAGACAGGGCTCCTTCAATAAAGTGAAGAAAACCCTTAAGCAAAGTTAAGACCCTATGCAAGTCAAAACTTCCATCGCTCCAGCATGCAGTGCCTCTGTGGTAAGTAAAGCATCCTGCATCCCAGCATGTGGCCTGTCAGCATGGACAGACTTCCCTGTCCTTCCCCTTGGGTGTGTCAACAATCCCTTTTGTAAAATGAGCCGAAAAAAGAAGACAAGTGATGTGATCATTTGAGGCCTATGAACAGCTGACCTTTATGAGATGCTTTCTTTTACTCATCAATTTAGAAGAATTATAAGAGCAGAAGGACCTAGACTCTCTAGTTAGTGCTATCCAGTAGAAATTTCTGTGACGTGCAAATGTTTGTACCTGAGCTGCCCCAGCAGCCATGAGCCACATGTGCTACTGAACACTTGAAATGTGACTGAGGAACTGACTTTTTTCAACATTAATTTAAATTTATGTACTAGTATAATTTAAAATTGTGTACTAGCGGCTACTTTATTTGGACACTGCAGGCTTATATTTTAACAGCAGCTAATAATTACTGACCATTTACTATGTTCCAGGCATTATTATTTCAGTCTGTTCTTAAGCAAGTCTTTTGGGTCAATATTGCGCTCATTTTACAGATGAGGAAGCAAGCAGAAAAAGGTTACATATTCTGCCCAGGACATTCTGTTACTATATGGCAAATATGTGAGACTCAAACTCAGTCTTAACTCTGTAGTTATACTGCTAACTACTGTTTCAACTTGTCTTCAGGGAAGGAATTATTCCATTTCTGTATTTCCAGAGACCTTCAGTTGCTACTAAGCCCCACCCCACATATCTCCAAAAGAGGACAGGACACTTACATAACTCCCTACACTACTTACCTATCGTATAACAGTAAGGTGTTAACACTTTTGAAGCAAAATACAATCTTGCTCCTAAAAGGTCAATCAGTCCAACCATCACAGATTTATAAAGCTGAAAATCCATAGGGGTCTCCAGGGAACAGCATGGAGTAAGAAACGATCTCACTCGAAAGTTAGGAAGAAGTTTTGGACCCTAAAATCATATGTGCAGACATGAGAAAGAAAAATAAGATATAAAACCAGAGAATAAACGGAAGGATATCTGGTATAAAAGTTTGATACAAAATTACTTTATAGGCATCATACTTTTCCAGGACTTAGGTGTCTTTATGAAAATGACAAAGAAAAACATTCTTATTATAGTTCAAGTGTAATACTTCACAGTATCTTTTAAATATGTTTTAAAGTAGACACTGGTCACCATCAACAGAAAGAAAAGAAAGAAAAAGGAAAGATGGGGAAATGGGAGAGGGAGGCGAGAAGGAGGAAGGAAAGAAAGGAGGGCGAGGGGGAGAAGGAGAGATGGTGGGGGAGTGAAAGGGAAAAGAAACAACTGTGGTCACAGTTCAAGAAAATATCTTTGGAACTGTTAGAATTGCTTCAAGGGCCATAAGTACACTCAACTAAAGTTTTTAACTTTTTTTTTCAATTGACAAATAATGGTAAATATTCATGAAGTACATAGTGATGTTTTGATACATATTATGTACAGTAATCAAATCAGTGTAATTACCACATCATCATCTCAAACATAATTTCTTTGTGTTGGGAAGATTTAATAGTCTCCTTCTAGCTATTTGAAACTATGTAATATAAAGTTTTTAATACGGGTTGAGTATCCCTAATACAAAAATTCAAAATCGAAAATGTTCCAAAATCCAAAACTTTTAGAGCTCTGACAGGACACTTTCAGGAAATTCTCAGTGGAGCATTTTGGATTTTGGACTTTTTGGATTAGAGATGCTGAACTGGCAAGTATAAGGCAAATATTTCAAACTCTGAAAAAGTCTGAGATTGGAGATACTTCCAGTCCCAAGCATTTTGGATAAGGAATACTCAATCTGTAGTGGAAAATGTGATGAAGATGACATTCCAGTTTAGTAAGAAAAGGAAGTAATGTAATAAACGGTGCTGGCAAATTGATTATCCACCTGGAAAAGAACTATTAATCAAGTTAAACATCTAGCATGCATCACAGTCTAGAATAAATTCCAGGTGGTATGAGATGGTGATTACAGTTAATAACAATGTATTGTATTCTTGAAAATGGCTAAATAGATTTTAGATGTTCTTATCACAAAAAAATACGTATGTGAGGTAATGCAAATGGTAATGAGCTTGATTTAGCCATTCTACAATGTATACATATTTCAAAAGAACATGAACAGGATAAATATATACTTTTATTTGTGAATTAAAATATATACATAAATTAATAATAATCATAAGTAAATTCCAGGTGAATTAAAGATCTAAACAAAATAAGAAAAATATTATTTTAAAATATTAGGTAAAATATTTATGTTAACAAAGTAGTGCCAAAATATATTCTTACGTGAGATAGGAAATCCAGAAGTCATGAAAGACAAATATATTTCACTACAGAATAGTTAAAAGGACATCATAAATACTATTAAATTTTAAAAATAAAAATATATTACAAACCAGAAGAAATATGCACAATATACATAATAGTTAATTCTTGTTTTATAATGTGTTCTTAAAAAAGACAACCCAATAGAAATGAGTTCAGACATAGAAAGGCAATTCACAAAAGATGTAAATGGGTAACACACATTTGAAAATATGCTGAACTTCATTCATGCTCTTTAAAAAGTAATTTAAACATGTGACATTCCCTTTTTCACTTAGTTGAATGACAAAAATTTAAGGGACTAATAACACATTGCAGTAGAAGTGGGCTAGACATGGCTACCTTCACCATTATTGGATGAATGTGACAAATACAACTAATTAAGGAAAAATATCTGTCACTTATCAAAAATTTATCCAGTAATCTCACTTATAGGAATCTAGTTTATAAATTAAAAAAAGAAAAAGGCTCCAGTATGATAGGATATGCAAGAATGTTTATTGTAGCATGTTTGCCAGAAACAAAAATTGGGAAAAACCTGAAAGTGCATCAACAGTGGAACGACAGGGTACGCACGAGATAGATACCATGCCTTTCGTAAAAAGAATGCATAAAATCAGTCTGTATGCCTCAAGAACATCCGAGATATATTGGGTATAAAAGTAAACTGCACTTTTATTAGTCAGACCCATTCCAAAAGAAAAAATGAACAGTATTCAAGTATACAAATACATCTGGGCATGGAAATCGCTGTTAACATTGTTCCTTCAGGGATGGAAGGAGATTGAGAGGTAACCATTATTTATCTATTTGTCTTTATATACCTTAGTACTATCTAAGCTTTTTTTTTTTTTTTTTTAAAGACAGTCTTGCTCTGTTGCTTACTCTGGAATGTAGTGGTGCAATCTTAGCTCATTGCAGCCTCAAACTTCTGGGCTCAAGTGATCCTCCCACCTCAGCCTCCCCAGTAGCCAGTACCACAGGCACACCTCACTATGTCCAGCTAAGTTTTCTCTAGTTTTTTTTGTAGAGATGAGGTCTTGCTATGTGACCCATGCTGGTCATGATCGTCTCGCCTTAAGAGATCCTCCTGCCTTGGCCTTCCAAAGGGCTGGTATTACAAATGTGAGTGTGATAACTGGCCTGCCTAAGATGTTGTAAGGGAAATAATGATATTTTATCGTTCTTGTACCTTATGCCACAAATCAGACACTCTTAACTGGTATTCTAAATCAAGTAGAAGAACTAACTAGGCAGGGAATGGCCAAGTTGAGTGACACTGCCATTTCTGATTCCATCAACAGTTATGAGACTAGTCTTTATGGTACCTTATGGGAAGAGCAAACTCTATGTAGAGTAAACTCTATCAGATATGATTGAAACTTCTGTCTTGGCTTAAAAATATACCACATTCACAAGTAGTTTAGGATTTGTTCAGTGCAGACATTCACATTTTGATAACAAACAGCTAAAAACCTTTAAAACTCTCACAGAGAATCTAGAAGTACTATAATTCACATGCCTGTAGCACCTGATAAAACCTTCTGAGAAATCCTACACAGAAGGAAATTGGTCCTTTAAGGACAACACAAAACCAAGGTTAATTTATCAAAGGAAAAGCTATCTGGTGGCAACTACCTCCAAGTAAATGAAAGTTCTGCTTTTTTAGGAGGTTACCGAGACAGACCAAAAATGAAAGAACTTAAACAACTTACGGGCAGACAAAAGAAAACTGCTCCCACAGAGAAATAAAGCCACACAGTTTATATTTTTACCTTATAGAAATGGCACTCTAGGACTGAAGTTAAGAAAAGCTGGGTCAGTCGGGCCAGGCTCAATCTGTCCAAATAAGATTCTTCACCTGAAATAGAAAGCATCCCACTCATGGTTAAGTTTGAATTTGGGTACATATAATGAGAGCAGAGAACACGATGAACGTACAAAATCAATTTATACACTCTAAGAAGTAATGTGCTTTTAAATGACATTAAGAAATAAACTTGTTAGAATTAATTATGCTCTCTTCTTACGACCAATGAAATTGACTTCCAAGAACCCAAGCTCCTAGCTACAGAATTAAAAGGCACAAAATATATTCATAGAACTAGTAGAAATTTTCTTTAACTATATAGATCAAGAAATTTGACATATTTGGGTCACCTTGAATTAAGATGAACAATACCATCCTCTAAAAAAAAAATAAAGAAAGGTGCTACAGTTGCTCACTAATCAAAGATTCTAACACAGTATTGTGGCTATTACCATCTCCAACCAAAATGCTGCAATTTGTCAGCCAGAGCAGGGGAGTTTATCTAAAAACAGCTTTCTTCTCTCTATACAATCTCTATACAGTGTCCTAACATTTTTCAACTGTTATAGTAACATCTGTTAATTTCAGATCTCACCTTCAGATTACTATGGGAAAAAAAATAAAGACAAAGTATCACTCAATGTAAATGATAGAAATATGACTTGAAACCACCACAAGTTCAAAGGCTAATTTTTTTCAACTTTCAGAAGTTATTACAACCAACTCACCTTGAAGACGCTGAAGGAAAAAGGGGCTGAATATTTTTGCCATAAAGTTGACTGGATGGCGTTCAATAAGTGAACATGAATGGAGAAGTCCCAATAGTGTTTTGGGTGGAAAATAATTAAAATGAGTGAATAGCATATTTTCTAGCTTCCTAAATAAAGCAGAGGCATTTGGTGGCAAATAATTGAGTTTTCCAAATGGCTCAATTAATTTAGAAACCTGACTAGGTGAAAATTTTTCTGTTTGGCAAACAAAACTTTCTGCCACTGCATCAAAGATGGGTTTTGAAAGAATCAGTTTTCTACTGCAGTACTCCATGATTTTGCTGACAACTTCGGGATCCAAGGTAAGAGAAAGTGTAGTTACGTATTGCTCTAGGGCTTGTGTAAAAAATCTGTCACTGTGCCCAAAATATATGAAAGCCTCTAAGACTCTTCCAAGTTCCTCATTAGTGAAATGTGTGATGTGCCTCACAACATATTTACCCAATTTTATAACCAGAGGAAGTGCCTGAGTTTGATCAAGGGCAACGAGGGCAGTGAGCATTTGGCTAATCAATTTAGGGCTCAGGCTGTAAACTATTGAAAGGGAAAAGTTGTTTATCTTATTTAAAAACGTTTGGTGTTGATCCATTTTTTCAGCACAGGCCTGCAATATTCTATAAAGGGCCACAATATCCTCCGGGGTAAATGTTTCCAATTTTTCACCTTGCAGTTGATAAAGAATCAGTTCTAGTGTCACACAATCTGGGCCTTGCAGTCTAATCAGACTTTCTCCAAGAATACAAAGATTGTGAACTTCCAGCCCACCTCTTTTGAGACGATCCTGGCACTCTGCCACCAGGTTCAGCAATAGGTTACTTTGAGGATCCACATGCAACAGAATCAGAGAATGCAAAGCAGCCACCAAACTAGTGTTTGACAGATGTGAGGGCTCCTGTTCAAACTGAAAGCATAACGCTTGAAAGAGGCTATTCTCTAGTATGTCTTTTGGCAGCCTTCGATCACCACCTTTTTTTTCCACTTCACAAATCCGTTGTAAAGCTCCTGCTGCCACAGCATCAGGGAGAGTTTCCATTGTGCTTATGAAACTTAACACTTCTTCTGAGGAAGTGAAGCCGTTCAGTCTCCTGATAAATAGCTGTTCGTCCTCATTTTTAAGATTTTGTTCAAGCCTGTCCCAGTCACGTACTTGAGAGTATACTGGCTCACCAACTGGATGAGGGTCATTTCCATTTTCTGAATGAAACTTTTTACAACAGGCGTGACGAAATCTTACCCGGAAAAGCTCAGGTGGTTGTGAACAGAACCAAGGACACAGATGATGTCCCTTGACTGCCTTGTGAACATGATTTATAGGTTGATTTTTTAGAGCAGCTCCGTGTATCCAAAAAGCAGGTAAGTGACAAACATTCCTCCGCAGGGTGATTAAAGCCATGCCACCAGATTTTCAACTTCTCTTGATTTACAACTAAAGAATGAAAAAACATGGTCAAATACACTGAAGACATGACTCACTCAACATCAATGTTTACAAAACTACCAATGGGTACTTGAAAAAAGAGAGTGATAAAAATTTCCCTCTAGGCCTGGCGCAGTGGCTCAGGCCTATAATCCTAGCACTCTAGGAGGCCTAGGCGGGAGGACTGCTTGCTCAAGGTCAGGAGTTCGAAACCAGCCTGAGCGAGACCCCGTCTCCACCAAAAATAGAAAGAAATTAATTGACCAACTAAAAATATATATACAAAAATTAGCTGGAAATGGTGGCACATGCCTGTAGTCCCAGCTACTCAGGAGGCTGAGGCAGTAGGATCGCTGAGCCCAGGAGTCTGAGGTTGCTGTGAGCCAGGTTGACGCCACGGCACTCACTCTAGCCTGGGCAAGAAAGTGAGACTCTGTCTCAAAAAAAAAAAAAAAAAAAATTTCCATCTAAATTAAGCACCAGAAGATGAGAGTCTCCAAATCCTAGAGTTACAAAACTGGCATCTAACAATAATTATCAGTATCACTTGTCAGGCACTGTTGTGCTTTATATCTACTAACTTACACAAATTAAGTACTTTTATCATCATTTTACACGAGGAAAAAGTTGGACCACAGATAAACTACTTTGCACAATGGATGCAGCCAGTAAGTGGCAGAACTGAAATTCAAACTCCGGTAACCCAGCTCTTAACTGTGCCTCTTATAAGTTGGCTGAAGAAAGGAATCGTGTTTGGTTAGAAGTAAACTTATTCAAAAAAGAAGAGAATGGGTAAAGTGGGCAAAAATAGGATAATGGTGCAAGGCAAGGGTAAAAGCGTGCTTAAGGGGCTCTGAGATGTTGGTTTCCCCTCGGTGTTAGGGTTCAGCTAGGGGTGAAGGAAAACAGTCTACCTCCCTTGGCAAGCGGGAAAAAGGTAGAATTCAAAAAAAAAAAGCCAATACAACAAAGGTCAACCGGGGAGGAAGGCGGGGTGGCCAGTCCAGACTTAAACACCCGGCGCAGGACCAGGGAACACGAGTGTGTAGGACAGAGGGGACGGGGCGCCCCGGGGTCGCGTTGTCCCTAGAATGAAAGGGACCCACGCGCCGAGCACCCTGAAACGCGGCGTCCGGGGACCTTCGCTGAGACACCGGGCGGGTGCCGCAGCCCGAGAAGGGACGGCCGGGCCAGACCACCGCCGGGGCCTAGCGACGCCGAGGAACTGCACACGCCCGGCCCGGCCAACCATGCTGAGAGCCCTGTGGTCACCTACCCAAGTCCGCCCGCCGAGCGTTCAGAGCAGCCTCGGTAGCTCCGGAACCTCGTGGGCCTCCGTACTGAAACGCGGCGCCTGGACCCGGCAGCCTGACGCATGCGCAGGGCCGAGAAGACGCCCAGGCCCTGCCCACGGCCGGCGCTCTGTGATTGGCCCCATCTTCCCCTGGGTCGAGCAGCCTATTGGGCCTGAGTGCCGAGCATGCGCACTTCGGCGGGGCGCAGCGTTGGCTGAGGTCGCGCTGTCCGGGAGTGTCTCGGCCAGACGCCGCGGAGGTGAGTGCTGTGGGGTCTGCGGCTTCCGGCCCAGGCCGCCTGCTCGACCCTAGCGCGACCGGGAAGCGGCACGTAGTCTGCGAGGGCAGCCGGCTTGCGCGCGTGGTTCTCTCCCTTCCGGCTCTGTGGGGTCTCTGCGGGGCGGCCCGAGGGCCTCCGGGGGCGCGTCCCTGGGCCTCAGCGTCGGCCCCCTGCGCGCGGAGGCTGCGGGGCGGTGCGGGGCGGTGCGGGGCCTTTGGTTGTGGACACTTTCCAGACCCGGTAAACTGCGCGGGGCGGGGGCGTGTCGGGAAGGGGCGCGCTCGGGAGACTGGGGGCGCTCCGAGCGCGGACCCGGCCGCACTGGGGCGGCGAGTCCTGCCTCCGCGCGACACGCCGGCCCTGCCGGTGCCGGAACCTCCGCGGAGATTCTTGCTTTTCAGGGCGGTCGTCGGAATGAGGGATAACCCTCTGAAGCAAGCAGCACAGTGTGTGGCTCCTGGAGAGTGATACAGATTGTCAGCTGCGGTAAGGTTTTCATCACCGTGTTTTCACAGTTTTCTGTGAAGTCCTAAGTGTGAAGTGTCTTCTTATCGTTCGTTTATTCATTAATTCAGGTAATTTATTGAGCACTTGTATGCCAGGTGCTGTTACGGTCCCTAAGAATATTGGATAATTGACATGTAATTTCTTCGTGGCTTAATTTGTCCTTAGATGCGATTGGCCACAGGAGCATAAAACCATAGTTGTTTCATTCACCAAAAGCCAAGATTTTGACTCGGGTCTTAATTTATACGTACTCCTGCAGTTGACAGTCTGCCAGTTTTAGCCACTGGATGAGTATGGAAATAAACCCATGAGTGTCGTTAATTTTACTAACACACGTTTTCCCTAAAGAGATAACCAGTAGTAAAGACATACATACTTATGTATGTATATACACTCGCATGTAAGATACTGAATTAAATAACAAGAGTAAGTGCTTCAGTTAACTTTAGTACTGTGATTACTTTGTTTAGCATTAGGATCAAGTAGGAACCATGAATACTATCATTTTAATGGAATTTTTTACTTTACTGTTTTTAAAAAGAGGAAACAAAGATATATAAGACTTTTTTTGAGTGATACTATGGCTCAGACTTTGCTCAGGTGTCACAGCCTTATCCAGGTAGATAGTATCATCCCCATTTTAAGGATAGGAGAGCTGAGGTATAGATCAGTTGGGTAGTTTGCCTACAGATATGCACTTATGAACTGCAGATTGAAGCCTAAGTAGTTTGACTGAATATATCTGATTTCTGGGCTATGAGCTTAGAGTTTCATTCTATACTCTCCTTAGTTTGATGAATTCTTTCTTATTTAGGCTTCTTTAGAATTAGCACTAACAAAACAAATTTAGAGAAAGCTATTTCATATTATGTGTGGGTATTGCATAATTTATTTTATAGATTGAAGGAGAATTAATACCTGTAGGTTGTTACTACTTCACTGAAAAGCATATCTTTTTTTCTTTTCTATTTTTCAGTTACTGTTATAGCATATGCCTTGAAGTGATGAGAAGATTTTTGTTACTATATGCTACACAGCGAGGACAGGCAAAGGCCATAGCAGAAGAAATATGTGAACAAGCTGTGGCACATGGATTTTCTGCAGATCTTCACTGTATTAGTGAGTCAGATAAGGTAAGAGCCATTGCTTTGGATTTTGGATTTTTGTGTTTTGTTCATTGAAGTATTTTTGTTATTAAATGACGTTTGTTAAACAATGAAGTAGAACACTAAATACCACCATAATCCTTTTTTTTAACAGAAATTTACTTTTTCAGCTGTATTGTAAGATTTCAGCAGCCTTTTTTTTATACATGGAAGTATGCATTTGAATTAGGTTAAATGGTCTCAAAAACCAAAACAGGTAACTGCTCCTTAACTATAAATGGCAGTCATAGTATATGCCTCATTTATCTCACAGGGTGGCTGTGAGTACAAATGAGATGTGTATTTGCATATGTGTTTTCCACTTCATGAGTCTCATTGCCTCATTTTGTTTTCACAAAAGAAAGACTTTACCACTTAGCTCCCCAATATGAAGGACTGCCTAGATTGTTTTGTGAAATAGAATTTAAAGTAGTAGTGTAAGGATCTGGAAAAGGCTCAGCTGCTTAAGGTCAAGGACTACTTGTTTTCTCATCCAGTCTGCAGAAGTTCCAACTTGGGGGTATATAAGATTTTAACAATTCTATGTTCTTCTTTAATTTAGTCTGAGACCTACATATTATACTGTTTCAGACAATTCTGGTGATAGCCAAAAGGACTTTATGCCACAAGATGATGTGCCAACTGCTAAGCAATCAAATTTACTCTAGCACTTGAAAAACTGTCCTGCCAGTACTCTTTCTCACTCAAGTACAAACCTCCTTTGGCCTTTCCTAAAACTAATTCAAAAGACTAGACTGTCAGCAGCACAGGTGAATTATAAGCCTGGCTCATAGAAGGAGACTCACCTTTATGCAGCATTGCCGTGGTGACTTCTAATATAGTCACTTACAGAAAGGGGAGCTTCCCTAGGACACTGTCGATCTGCAGGCTCTGTTATTCTATAGTGAATTAAACTTATGTTGCAGTGCCACATGATGAAATACACTCTGCATCTGTTACTCTGCAACTCTTCAACGTTGTCATTGTCCTAGCCCTCGTTTTGGTTTTTGTGGTTGTGGTTACTCTTTCTGTCCTCAGTTATTTGACAGTCAGGTTAGTGGTGAATTTTCTTCAACACCAAGTTAGTCGTGCTGTTTGCTATCCCTGGCTGAGTGATATCTCTAATTGTTCATGATGTAAGTTTAAGAGATAGCATGCTTCTTCCTATCTCTTAGTCACAGTAGTCCTTTCCAAGGGAAAGTTACTTATACAAAGTCTGTATAGAGTTTAACACTCCACTGTGTGGTGTCTTTTAAGCATTAAATGGCTCAGTAAAATGTTAGCTCAACTCATTATCTCTCATATCAGCATAAAAAAATAAAGTGAATTTTTTGGAGCCAAATTAGATGGTGTTCATGAGCAGTTGAGCTCATGGATTCTTAAGTACAGATGGAGACAGGAAATGCTCTGTGAAATATTTAAATTTACGTGATAATTAGAATAAAGAAACTTGATTTCTGAGAGTGGGGAACACTGATGATCTCAACTTTCAGCTGTTGATTTTCTCAGCTCTCTGGAACCCTGACGAATGAGAATCCCAGGATAACACTTTTAACATTGCAGCTTTGAAATGTTCAATCTCCCCTGTCTTTATGTCATGTGCACTACATATGGCTGGGTTTATATTTTGCTGAAGATTTCAGAGCTGCTGTGTTTTCACTGCTGTCTTCACCAGAGTATTTGGTTTGCTTCTTCCTTGTTGTCTTGCCATTTTAATCCTGAGTCCTTATGTATATGTTCTTTTAATTTCTGAGTCTCCCTTTTTTAATCTCTTTGCTTTTTTCCCCCTATTTTATGAAAGGCATTCCTACCCAATTCGCTCTTTTGTCATCTTGGCTGTTAGCTGGGCTTATTTGCCTTGCTAATTAGAGCTCATGTTAACATTTGGCTCAGGGCACAGTGGCAGAGTTGATTATATCTATCGCATTTTTTCTGATTTTTCTAGAAATGAAGAACTGAGCTAGGTGGAAACCTGGGGTGGGTCCTGTTTCTGTCTATCTAGGAAACCCCAAGGAGAGAAGGACATGTTAGACCCTCCTAACCTCTTGACAAGCATCAAGAAAAACACACTCATGGTTTCATTGATTAACATCCTGTATTGGGTGGCTTGATTAAACTGGGAACACCTAGTTCCTGGACTGCTCAATCTGGCATGCATCTCTAATAACTTGAGAAGGAGGAAAATTGAAGGGAAGCATAAGACAGAAGAAACTAAGCTGATTGCCATGCTTTGTGTTAAATAAAAAATACATGAGGATTATGTCCCTAACTTGATATCCTTGTTTTATAGTATGATCTAAAAACCGAAACAGCTCCTCTTGTTGTTGTTGTTTCTACTACTGGCACCGGAGACCCACCTGACACAGCCCGCAAGTTTGTTAAAGAAATACAGAACAAAACACTGCCAGTTGATTTCTTTGCTCACCTGCGGTATGGATTATTGGGTAATGGGCTATATTTTCTGCTCTTAGTATATTATTATTGTCTTAACTCTGGTATCTGAATATATCTTTCAAAACCATAAAGTATAATTATATGTATTTTTCTTTATTTTTCTATAATATTATATATGTATAGCATATATAATAGCGTATGTAATGTGCTATCTTATATAAATCTTCCCTGATCTTCACCTCTGCAGAACCTCTTGAGTTGCATTCTTAAGGGTGCACTTCAGATTCACCCATGAAACAGTTTCAGAATAATAGTGGCTGAACCTCATCCCAAACCTACTAAAACAGATTTCTTGAAGGAGCAACCCCTCATTACATTTTGTTGTTTAAAAAATGAAACAAACTCCCAGGTGATTTTGATATTTTCTGAGAACCATTTTCCTGGAATGGTGGTTTCCATTTCCCAGCTACACAGGATTATCTGGAAGGGTTTATTAAATTCCATTACTTGGGCTCACTTCCATTGATTCTGATGTAATTGTTCTGAGGTAGAGCTTTGACATCAGTATTTTTAAAAGCTCTGAAGTAATTCTAGTATGTATCCAGATTATAAAAAAAACTGGTGTAGGGCTTTGTGAAGCATAGTTTTAAAATATTAAAGTAAAGAATTGGGAGGACCAGATCAGCAAAATATGATCCCAGAGAAGGGATTAAGGGTCCACATTCCTGGCTTGTGATCTGTGTTGTTTATCTTTGAGGAGTATATTTTGAAGAGGGTATCTAGCAAGGATGGAATTCGATATAATGAGTAACTGATTGGAAATTTGGAATTTAACCCTGGCCATGACCTGTCATGCATAACAAGTTCAAGAGAGTATTTTACAGCATTTGCCATGTTTTTAAACTCAGGTTTTTCCAGTTTCTGTGTTTTCAAGAGTGAAGACATACTGCTTTGAAAATCCCTCAAAAAATTACTATAAGGAAAAGCCTAGTCCCTGTTAGGCCCATGTATGGACCCACCAGTTTCTCACTGGGAAAGAACATGGAGATAATTTAAAAAATGAGAAATTTAAGCTTTTAATTGTAACTGTATATGAAAATGTTAGTCTGTTGTCTTACCATGAAACATAGAAGCAATTCTAAATTTATTCAACAAAGAAACATTTGTAGCGAGTGGTTATTTATACTGTATGTGTACATCTTTGTACTCTATATCAGGAGTCAGTAAACTCTATAAAGTGCTAGCTAGTAAATATTTTAGGCTTTGCAGGCCATATGGTCTCTTATCACAACTACTCAACTCTGCTGCTACAGCTTCAAAGCAGCTGTAAATAATATGTAAACAAACTGATTTAGCTGTGTTCCAATAAAACTTTATTTACAAATAAAGGCAGTAGGTGGTGTTTGGCTGAGAGGCTATGGTTGGAAAACTCCTGCTCAGGATCAGAAAAATATATAGATACAGATATTGCAGTTTTTCAACCTAATCCTTGTTTTAAGATTTCTATATTTTTACACAGATTCATGGAGGTAAAAATGTGAAATATATTTCTTTAAACAGTGGTCAATATGTGTTTATTTTGTTTCAGTATATCTGGCACTTTTATGTTGTAAAATAGAAGAAAATTGTCTGCATACGTAGTGTTACTCAAGGAAAGTAAGAAAATATAAAGCTATACATTATTTTCTGTTCTATCATAAAGGCATGGAATAGTATTATTCAGATATTTTTGTTTATCTGTTCTTTATATCCTTAAATTTAAATCTTGTACAATAATTATCTATTTGGCCTCTTTAGGTCTGGGTGACTCAGAATACACATACTTTTGCAATGGGGGAAAAGTAATTGATAAACGACTTCAAGAGCTTGGAGCCCGACATTTTTATGACACTGGACATGCAGATGACTGTGTAGGGTAAGGGCAACGTACCTCTATTTTTTCTAAAAAACTGTGTTTATACATGATGAAAGTTAGTTTATAAAACTCACTAACATGTTGGCTTTTAGTTTGGCACTGAAAGTTTCATCATATTTTAGTTTTGTTAGCTTTTTTAGCTTTTAGAAGCCAAGAGGGACAGCCAGGGATTGATTTACCTATTTTGCTGATTTTTGTGTGTGTGTGCATGTATGTCCCATCCTTCTCAGTATCTGCTAATCAAAAGAGTTAGGAAAAGTGCCCCCAGTATAGTAATCTTTATTTGTAAGTGTGTAAGTGTTTGTAAAAATCAGCATTTTCTTTGGGAACCTTGAATGATAGTGGGTATGTGCACTTCTCTCTGCATTGCACACAGGGGAGACGCTGGATTTGGCTCCTCACATGGAGGCAGCCTAGTGGCCAGGTGTCTCTCATAGAGAACCCGCATCAGTGGGCCTTCACTGCAGACTGCATACGTTGGTGCACTCTCTCACCATCTTGTTAGCCATTTGCCACCATACCAATCAGAAGTATGCTTTCTCATTTCATTACTTTAGTCTTGCTTTTACAACTCAGTATTTTGCCCTATGCATGACCTTTCAAATCATCCTGATACCTTTAGTTAAAAGTCTTAAAGATATCATCCTAAAACTTATTCTAGCATCTAGCCTTTAACTCTTTTAGCTAGATAACAGCACACACATTTAATTTTTTTTCTGCTAGGTACATGTATTAATTTTTATTCACTATGTTAATGAATAATCTCTGTTTATGAAAAATGACAAATTCAGCAAATGTCTTTACTGCATATTATGGTACCACTTAGCTCACCCCTCTGTCTACTTCTTCCATCATTTTCTGCAGCTGCTGTGCTGTGGGTTTTTCCACATCTCCCTACTGCACATATTCTTCCTAATTGTGACAAAGCTCTGTGACAGTTCTTTGCATCTTTACTTTTAGTTTTGCCCATTTATATTGAGCTTTGTTTCCCCCAGAACCTCATTGAAAAGAAATGCTTAGTCTTGTATGAGCTATGTTTAATTGCTAATGTAATGCTTATATATCCATTTGGCCCAGTACTCATCCATATTTTACTTCTCTTCAAAGGCTTTCATTTTCTCTATTTATTTTTTGGATCAAGTAGTAAAGTCCTTGAAGGTATATTTCAGCATCCTTCACCACTTAGATTTTCAATTTAAATACCTTAATTGAATATCTCCTTTCTCTAAAATTAAGTTATTAACATTTTCAAGAAGACATTCTTGCTTAGTGTACCACCACACTTGAAGGAGTTAAGAATGCAGCCTCAAGTCCAATACCTGGGTTCAAATTCTTGCTCTGCCACTTACTGACTGAAACCTTGGTCAAATCATTTAGGCTTTTGTGCTTTGGTTTTTGCCTGTATTAGTTAGATACTAGTAGTATTAAATATATGTACTGTGTAAACTTCTTAGGAGGATCAAATGAATTAAAACATGTAATCGTTTTAGAACAATGCCTGTCATATAATAAACACTCATTGAACATTAGCTCTTTTATATGGTTGTGGATATTATAGCCTTAATATTTCTGAGCTCTGAGAATGATACTTTAAATGTAGCTGTTATTATTGAACCCTTAACTTTATAAACTTTCATGAAGGCTCCTAAGGGTAGGTGTCTTACCACATTTTGAGCTGCATAATGTGTGAGCACTTACTGAACACAATGAAATTACAGCCTGGGTCCTAATGAGACGGTCTGACATGTGTCGCCTCTCAGTAGTCGTGTAGCTTTATGAATTGGAACTTAATTGATAACTTCTTTAAGTCATGATTAAAAATGAAAATGTTATTTCTAACACCCTGACACAGTCTTTCTTATCCATTAACTTAAACTTCTCTGTTCAGGGAATGTAGGGAATGTTATTGTTGAGTTACCATACCTTGTTAGTAAGTAGACTACTACATATACAAAGTGTATTTATAATTAATTCAACTTTCCTTAAGGATGATTGCTTTTTTCCCTCTGTAGTTGATTTCCCTGGAAATTTTATCAAAAAATTGTTCAGGACTGATAGAAAGGTTGAACTACTTAGCCAATAGACTTGGCATTAATCCAGAGTGATTTCTTGTTGATATTTTAATCTGCAGGAAAACGATCAGTAAATTGGCTAGGCAAAAAAAAAAAAAAAAAGTAAAAAAAAAAAGAAAACAACAAAGGACAGAACCAAAAAAAAAAAAAAAATGGTGCATCTGATTGATCTGATTATCATTTGCAACATTAGGGTAGCCTTGGATTTTGGTTATGTTCTGTTAGCCTCATCAGAATTTAGCTGTTTAAAATAATAACTTCTTCAAGTAAAGATTACCAACTCTAGTTTAAGAAATTAAGAGGATCCCTTTTCATTTATTTGACCTTTATACATGCTTATATTTTTTACAGCTAATGAACACGTAATAGTTAAAACTTAATCATTGGTAAGTATTTTTTGGATTCTGAATAGTCTTCATAATTAGTATTTCTAACATTTACATGTAGCACTCTGCCAAATGGACAGACTTTGCCATTATCCCATTATTCTGTGTTCAAATGGAGAACTAAGGCAGTTGTTTCTTCTTTTTTATTACAACCCAGTTTAGAACTCGTGGTTGAGCCGTGGATTGCTGGACTCTGGGCTGCCCTCACAGAGCATTTTCAGTCAAATAGAGGACAAGAGGAGATAAGTAGAGTGCTCCCAAGGGCATCCCATATCTCCCTGAGGACAGACCAAATGAAACCAGAGTTACTACACCTTGAATCACAAGTCGAGCTTCTGAGAGTAGATGATTCAGGAAGAAAGGATTCTGAGGTTTTGCAACAAAATACAGTGAACAGTGGTCAATCAAGTGCTTTAATTGAAGATTTTGAAGCCTCGCTTATCCGTTCAGTACCCCCACTCTCACAAGCCTCTCTTAATGTTCCTGCTTTGCCCCCGGATTACTTGCAGGTGCATCTCCAGGAGTCTCTCTGCCAGGTGAGCAGTTTTACTTTATGCTTTATGTTATGAATGTTATTTAACCATGGATGACTGCTTTGGTTTATTTTTTATTATTATCATATGATATTAGAGGAGAGTTTAAAAAAACTATGGCTTACTGGCCAAATGTGGCCTATCAATGTATGTAAATTTTGTTGGAACACAGCTACACCTGCTCATTCAGGTAGTGTCTGTGATTGCTTTTGAGCCACAGTGGCAGGGTGAGTGGTTGCCACAGAGACATGTGAAGTCATGCATTTGGCTCCTTCCAGAAAAATTTTGCCCACTCATGTGTTATAGACATGCTTATATTATCACATCGCTTCTGTCTTTGAAGAAGTAAATGGTTAAGAGCTTAGTTTCTCCTTATTTTGGAGAACTAAGTGCTTGGTTTCTCATTTTAGATGTGAGTCAAGCAAAGGTCAGTTGTGTGGGCAGTGAGGAAACTATAAACAATAAAATCTTTTTTCTAATGTTAATTTTTGATATCCTGGATTTTTCAATTGGTGACCATTCTTTTTGTAGCTAATATCTTACAGACCTGTTTTTGTCTGTATTGTCATTGTTTTTGCCAAGAGTATTTTTTCCATCAATAAACAAAAGACTTTAAAGGGGCTGTGTAAATTTTTGAGTACCAAGTTGAGTAATAGCTAATTCTGCCCCACTTCTGCCAGTATATGGTACCTTCAAATTTTTTCCCACATGCTTAAAATAAATTTCCAGGGCAGCCAATCTATTAATGCAGGGCCAAGCTCTCTTTTTGGAGAGTGGCTGTTTGGAGTTCCATATGAACGTTCTTACATAAACCACATCCTTAATGCAGCTATCACCATTTCTAGTTTCTTGTTTTCTTTTTCTTAGTAAAGTCAGACATAGACATTTCAGAAACAATTTGAATGCAACATCTTTCTAGTATATTAGCTCTATTTGCAAGCACCAGCTATGATAGCAGTTTTTTTTTTTTTTCCGCATCTTATTTATAAAGCATTCGGATATGTATGTTTTTATGGATTAAAAAAAGGACATTTTCATCAGGTTTGGGAATACACATATGCGCAGACATACTAGGGAGTAGCACCCCCATCTGTGAGCTACAGGATCAGTATGTGGCAGAGGGGATAGAGAGGACTGGTTAATTTGAGAAGTTGCTTAGTTTAGGAGGATCTGTTAAGAGTGTCTTTTATAGCAAGTGTCATTAATAGGCTTGAGTTAATGGGTAATATACATAAAAGACCTGAATTATTTAATGGTAACAATATAAATCTGAAAGGATATACTGAAACAGTAAAGGATTGGAAGAGAATTGTTTTGTAGGGTATGCTCTTGGGACCATAGCTTTGGGGTGTGGAGAGGATGGGAGCAGGATGTGGCACAGTGATAAGATGATGAGCTGCTGCAATGTAATCTCATCAAAGGCCTCAGTCAGTCTCATTCCATATGGTATCTTTCCCCCATCTAAAAGTGTTTCCTCTAGTACCAGAGGGTTGCCTGGACTGTGTGCTGCAGCAGCAGGACCTCTTCTGAGCACCATCATTCAGAACTGCTATACAGCCTTCTGCCCTGGGCCCCACACAAAGCTGGCAGCCTTTTGTGTCACCTGGTATTTGGATTGAAGTAGTCCTCCCAGGTGTGGAATGTACTGCCCTCAGATCCTGAAGAGACCTATCAGGTGTTCTCCTTCTCTCTAGAGGAAGTGAGATACAAGATGTACTAGTGTGGACTCTACTTGGGAGAGAATGTCCTGACATACACCAGACTGTTGGAACCCTAAAAACCGTGCTGACCCT